TCTTTTAAGCAATATTTTTGTCATATCCGATACCAGATTATTATCGAAATGAGAATGTTTTCTGCATTAATTGAGAAATAAGTGAATTTTTAACTTCAATCATGCAACGCTTATTTAAACGTGGTAATTGTAATATTCTTGCATAAAATGAAATATCATTTAACATATGGGACAATAATGAATACAATATTATAAATTTGAATCCCATTTAAGATTATAATAAATAGAATAGAAGAATGAATGGCAATCTAGCATTATACTCTGAATTTATTAAAATTTGCGACGGTCATAGACGACTTTAGGAAGAAATAAAATAGCTTGGCTAGAATTTCTCTTTCAAATTGGTGTCAAGAACATCCAATGGCAACATACAATATGTGTCTCTAAATTAGTAAATTCTACTTATAATAAAAAAATAAAACTTTCCAAAGGTAACTTATTTGACCATTTTAGAAATAAAGATTTTACTTAAAGGCTTCTTATTTATAACGCAATTAGTACATTAATTAAATTTGGTCTACAATAAAATAAAATCTGTATGAAAAAATAAAAAATAATTTACTACATTTCACAACATTACTTTTTATCCTAAAATCATCATTAAGACTTAAGTAAGAGTAAAACTAGAGTGGAAAATAAATCAATCCAATAAATCCCAACTATAATTGGCTCGATGAATTTATCACCTTTCTTCAAAGTATGCCCAATATCAGTGATTCCTGCAGCCCGATAGAAATAAAACCAATATAACCTAGTGAATCAGATTATCATCCCATTTAAGTTACTACTTCTCTTCGAACAGGAATTCTGTATTAAACAGATTTATTAACTTTGGAGACGTACAATTTTATCCTCAAATATAATAAGAGATAATCGAAATTTCTAATCGGATATCATTTCATTCAAATTAAACAGATAAAATTTCTACCCTTCTTAAAACTGTAAATGAAACGATGATACTAGGTTCCTCTAATAAAATAGAAATAAAACTAATATTAATGAGAGAATGTACTTATTCGATAACAGAATCTGAAAAAATATAATTTATATTTGAATAACAGAAATATCAATTCAAAGCCGATATATACTAACATTTGTTACAGTTATTATCTCCATCTTTAAAAGCGGTACGATAACAATGTAATTGGTCAACCTGATATCAGAAACTAATAAAGTTTTACCTAGCATATGTTTCTATGAAAAGTAATTGTGATAAATTTTAAATAAAACAGATTGGTCTATTCCTATTTTTACCATAATGTAACTTCCATGATGTAAAGTATGATTGCTAGTTCATTTTTGCTAGAATCGAATTGAAATTACAATGCAAAAGAATAGCATTATTTGGTTATTTAATTTAGTGTATTTACTGCCTAGTAATAGAAATCTATATTCATATATAAATAAATTTATTAACTATTACAACCTTCATTAGTATTTGTAAGAGTCTTATGATGGACAATCATAATGGTAATGTATATTTTGATGTAAACATTTGATTGTTGTGCCGACAAAGTTTCTGCCGGAATATGTATAACAAAAGTTTGACGTTGTAAGTTGGATTGGAAATCAAATAAATAAACCAGTATAGCAAACATCTGCCGCCTAGCCCGTCAAATATTAACAGTATTTATTACAGATAATTGAGAAATAATGCCACTCAAAGTAATGTCTTAGACTTCGTAGAATACTTTGACATGTTACTCTTGAATACATCATACCATCTCGAATTGAAAGATATATATTCTTGACCTAAAGTTGGCCATATTAACCGTCATGATATTGTTAAGCAATTCAATAATCATCTATCACCTTATTTCACTTCTTCATTTAAATTTGACTGTCATCTTTTTAAATGCGTTAATACTAAGGCTGATTATTGGTAGAATTAATTTCCAAGAAAATAGAATAGATACTAACAATCTACCGCTATCGTTTTTCCATAATCTGATGAAAATAATTAATGCTTGGTTGAACAAAAACAGAATTAATTTCAAATAAAATGATTTACAGCCTATCTTCATCTTGTAATATCGTCTTAGTCTTCCCAAACTAATTGTCGCTTAATTATATAACGATAGAATTAATTTTAAAGAGGGATCGGCAATAGGTGCAGAACTCTTTCATAGCAATTGATGATCTATAATACGTGCAGGCCAAAGGGAAAATTACTTCTATGTTTGGTTGCGTAAATGGATAACAATATGACAGTGTTGATAGCATTCAGAAACGATAGAAATGCTCCGATTTATCTGCTAATCACTTTGTCTAGTTGAAATTCGAATTGTATTGATTAAATTATATTATTATTCATGATATTTTGTTGCAGCTGAATAGTGAGCTATTAGGACTAGCGATGCTGTTATAGGCCTTATTTTCCTCTTGTGTTTATAAAGTAGGCTGGTATGCAGATAAATGTAGAAATTGCCAATGATATTGATCTAGTTGAATTGCAATGATGTTATGGTTTTGTTGTGTTTGTTTTATCCTGCAGCTGCTCTAAGTCAGTATATCATTAAGATTTCGGTTATTACCGTCAGTGTAGCTGGAAGCTAATCGCTTAACTTAATTTGATACTGTATGAATTCCGTAGATATCGGTTGTCTACAGTATTGAAATGATATTTAATATATTCGTATATAAAGATACATACAGTATGCAAGTAAAGTCGAAGAGAATCAAACAGCAGAACTAGAATGCGCGTAAAAATATGTTCTTACTGTGATCATATGGGATCTCCTGCAGCAGTTGGTTTAGAAATGACAGTAAATAAAAAGAACTTAATCGTAAGTATATCCTTAGCGATTTAGTCAGAGGACCTCGAGCAATCAGCAAATACTATAATTAGTTAGCCAGGTCTAGGTAATTGTTGGTCCATGTACGAGTGCACTGTGTAGTAAAATAACTGTGTTAAATTATAATAAAGGATTAATTCTAGTCCACTAATTTTTTACGCCTGTATTCATTATAATTATAGCTAACTATTTGCAATATTCTTCTCAGATTTGCATGATCATTAACCTTCTCTCATTCTTTACAATATCTAAATTGATTCTTGGACATTTTTAGTATAATATAGATTGCTCTAGAATTTGGATGATATCACAAAGTCAAATCATATCAGAAGTATCCGGATGTACATCAACAGTAATGATAATTACCAACTAGTTCACTTGAGAAGAGTCAATAATTATTTTAATTATTAACATTAAACTCAAGTAAATAGAACATTCATCATCTTGATAGCTTGAACTGCTTCGTTTTTTTTTACCAAAATATTTTTACCTCATCAAAAGCAAATTCTATTATAATATTTCTTTTAACGATTACTCCGTTACTTTAAATAAGATCATGAAGGATAATAAAATGCATTGGATTTGACTTTCATTTTATATCATGCCTATCACGAACAATGACTGAATTGACAAATATTCAATCTGATTTCTATATCGCTAATGTTTAAATTAACTTGGGACTATGACAAGCAGGAACAATATCCAACAGCTATAATTTAATAATGAAGATCTTCTCAATATATGTATTTATGAATAAAAATTTTCATCCTTGACTTTAATGAAAATAGTCTAATGTAGTTTTGTTATTATCACTACCGTATAATGTATGTACTACAGTTATAGTTTAAGATCTTCTTGACATGTATATCTTATAACAATACTAAAATTTTCATCCATGATTTTAAGCAAAAATATTCAACCTGATTTGGGCTATCGCTACTGTCTTACTTAACTTTAGGAGGAGTAAAAGCAATTACAATATTCAATAGTTATTATTTAAGATCATTTCAATAGGTACATTGTACGACGATAATAACATTTTACCCTAGAGTTTAATGAAAAAATTATTATAATTTTGCTATTACCACCACTTTATTTAACTCAAGAGTACCAGAAACAGGAATAATATTCAACCGTTGCAGTTTAAGATCTTACACTTCTCCATATATGTATTTTATAGCTTTAATTAAATTAGTATCCTTTATTTCAGTTGCAAAATACTTAATAGGATTCTAGTATAACTAGTATGTTGTTCTGCTTATAAGAGAGATGTACAGAAATAATATTCTGTAGTTTTAGTTTCGCTTCCCTAGAGCTGTATTTTATGGCATAAATAAAGCTTTGGCTCTTGATATTAATTATAAGAATTTATTCTGATTCTAGTATCCTATTTGACTCACGGCTATGATAAACAGAAAAAATATTTAGCAGTTCCGGCTTAATCTCTAAAATTTTTCTTTTCATGTGCATTTAATGACTACAGTAAAATGTTCACTCTTGCTTTTAATTACAAATATTTCAATCTGATACTAGTTTCCCTGACGTATTATCCTACTAGGGAGTAAGATAAATAGAAATAATATTTAACAACATGGTTATAGACCTAAACTACTGTATGTGTATATTTCATGACTTTAATAAAATGTTTTATTAAAGATATTAATTAAAATATTCAATCTGATACTAGAATTACTACCATTTTATTGAAATTAAGAGTGTGATATACAAATATAATATTCTACAGCCGTTAGGGTCTTCCTATAAGGGTATTTTATGTCATTAATAAATTTTTCAACATAATTTTAACTATAAATATTCAATCAGATTCAAAACAATTATTGTCTTTCCCAAATTAGAAGTAGAATAAATGAATATCATATTTAGGGTTATAGTTTCAAGTCTTCTATCTCTCCGTATGTTAATTTAAAATTACAACATATTTTTAATCTTGATTGAAGGGAAAGTATTCAATCTGATTCCAGTATCATTACTATCTTACTTAACTTAGGAGTATGATATTTAGGAACGATATCCAACATCTATACTTTAAGTTCATAAGAGTAAAATTAGGACTTAAATAATGATGAAAAACTCTTCCATCTAACTCTGTTATCACCGATATACCATTTCATTATTGGTGTATACCGTGAATATCACGATTTACTTTGATAAGATATCAGGTAAATATTTAAGATCTTATAGAAACTATAGCTTTATGATATCAATCGCCTGTGAAAAGATTTAATGACGCCAGTTAAAGGTATATTTTATTGAAGTTTAGAGAGTAAAAGTAGAGATAAATATATAAGCAGCAGTTAATATTTCGCGTTCGCACATTAATTATGTACCTGAGAATAATATACCGGCAAATGTAGATATGCAAGGTTACAACCCTTTTGAAAATAATATCCCTGACGATATGTATGAAATATCATAATAATAAACTACAGAACAAAAATCATGCAGCTGAGATACTTCTATATCATACGAAAATGTAGAATTAGTACGTTAACCAGGATTATTATAAAGCTAAAATGGACTAAGACTATATATCGCATAACTGTAAAAGAAATATATTTGAGCATAATTTCCAATCATGGATTATAAAAATATCTTAATCGAATGATAGATAGCATAAAATATCATTAGCATAATCTACTGCATGATCACAAGCTAAACTGTTGTTTTCCATATGGCTTAAGACAACATTATCATGATGATATCAAAGTAATTTATGAAGTGAAATACCTAACGCTACATCGTACGATTTAATCTATTTCATCCTTTTAAGATATTAATTGATTGATGTAATATTACCAAGAAGCATTATGGCAATCAGACAAAGTACTTACCACATCATCGGTTTGCACTAGAAATTCAGCTCCATCGGATAATCTAGATGTAGTAAATCGACAGTGATTTATTCAATATAAAATCAATTGTAGCAACTGCATATTTTATTACGCAAAAATTAGCTGAAGAAAGCTTCTATATAAAGTAGCAACTCACGCAATTCTAAAAACATTCTTCTTTTTCTTATAGTCGCTAGCTAACTGGCATTTCATTTTCTTGATTGATATAGGTGAATGAGAGGCTTGAATTTTCTATAAAAACCAAAATATCAGCCTAAATCAATTTGATGGCATCATACAACAGAAGGAAATATTTTATAATCTCTATAATATTGCTATTAATAAAGTATTGTTAGATTATACTGATATAATATCGACTGGTATGATATATCATCAAATTAGCCATATTTGAGTTAGCATTAAGCAGAATTAGGTAATGTTTCAGTCTAAAAGCATCAGTAATTTAAATGTTTCCGTAAACAAAGAATTCTCTTTTTAGCAATCCAGAACGTTGATCTTACACCAGCTATGCTACTACTTTACTCTACTAGTTACTGACCGCATCATAGTGTTTCCTGTCCTTATAGAAACGCAATTCTAACCCAAAAACGGCTGCAATCAATTTATCCCACGATCTATAATAACCCAATTACACATGATAAGGTTACTCTATCTTCATTTCTTCTAATAATGCTAAAATTTGCTTACTATAAAGGCGCAAATTTACAGTACAAATACTACAGAAAGTGATACTCTCGTACAAGTTATTTAAGTGCTTTTATCGCTTCTGCACTGTACCCAAAAGAAATGCTTAAATAAAGTTAAAGTTTGATCTCAAATCGAGATATGAACACATTATTGACCTTTTTTCCGATTTCCTGCCTTTTCGTTCCATAACATGTTTTCGATGAATAACTCCAATTAGACGGAGTGGTGCACCATCCTGTGGTTTATCTTCTAATTGTTCTTTTGGTTGTTCTTTTGGTTTATCCTGCGGTTTAGCCTCTTCTTCAACTTCTCGCCTAGCAGATTGTCATGAATATTAATTACTACGAGTACGTATAATATCTTTACGAAAGGCTATTAGATATAATGAAAACCAAAGAAATAGCAAATTGTATGAATATTATCTTAATCAATGGTTATGTAAAGTTTGTAAGCCCTACATAGTTTTTTCTCTTTCTGTCTTTATATGTACAGGGTCTTTCTTTATTCTCGTAAATTCTTCATATTGAGGTTTAGTAGCTTCTATTATAGCTTCAGGGGCCGAAACAGCTGTGGCTAGATCTTCACTAGCCTCTCTAACTTGTGATTCTGGCACCTGATTTTCCATTTCATTGCCATGAGGTATAAAGTAAGCGCTTTCATGGCCTTCGGCGGATAATTCTACATCTGGAGCTTTCATATTCGGCTCTGAATTTATATCCATATTAATTCCTTGATTAAATTCGAAATGAGGTTTATAGTCTGGCTCAATTTCGTCCTTATGATTGAGATCTAACGCAACGTTAGCGTTTGGTACAGTAGAATCCAAAGCAATATCCATCCCATGAGGTGGTTCCTCGTTCACTTCAAGGTTAATTTGATCATTGATATGCTCGTCTATAGCAGAAGGATCTACGTGGAAGGTTAGCTTATCATAACCAGAATTATCTGATATCTGCAAATTAGGATCTACATCTTCTGATATATCGCTCCCTGCTGGAGATAGAGATATTTCAAGCGAGACCAGAGGAGCACCTTCTAGATTTTCTGTCAAAATAGAATGTCAGTTACTTAACTACAAATATTAGGGGCAATAGGTAAATAGGAGTAAATAGAAATATATTTATACGATTTTTCTTTTAGTAGTACCGGCTGCTTGTGTATTAATTTCTTGATCTTCTATTGGCATTAGCTCTGCTTCTTGATTTTCTGTAAAAATAGAAATCAGCTACTCAACTACAACTGTTAGGAGCAATTGGTAATTACGAGTAAACGCGAATATATAAATACAACTTTTCTTTAAGTAGTACCTGCTACATGTGGATTAATTCCTTGATCTTCTATTAGACGTAGCTCTGCTTTTCGATTTTCTGTAAAATAGAATATCACACACTTAATTACAACCGTTAGGTGTAATAGGTAAATAAGAGTAAATACGAATATATTTATAAGTTAGTTCTTTAAGCAGTACCGTATACTTCCGGAATAATTTCTTGATCTTCTATTAGCCGCAACTCTGTTTCTTGATTTACTGTAAAGGGAGAATATCAATTACTTTACTATGACCATTAGGCGCAATAAGTAAATACGAGTGTATTTATACGATAGTTCTTAAGCCGTACAGGCTGCTTTTGGATTAATTTCTAGATCTTCTATTAGCAGCTGCTCTGATTCTTGGTTTTCTGCGTAAATATAGCGACATCAATTAACAATTAATACTCCAATAATTGTAAGACTTAATGCAATTATCTTGTTATTTATATAATACCGGTGTCTTTTGGAACAATTTCTTGATCATCTACTTGTTGTTCCTCTTCTTGGAAAGCACTGCCATCAAGTTCAAAACCATCCGAGGAATGCAATAATTGCTATACAGAAACGATAGCAAGAGATCAATCAATAAGAAAAATTCTCGTACTAGCAGATACAGCTTTTCAGCGAGAACGGTAAAATTCGTAGAGAAAAATGGGAATTTGGATAAGATTTATATATATACATTTAGATGTTCTTGCTGTTTTTGTAGTTTTTCAAACTCTCGAATTAAACTGGTCGCTTCTTTTTTAATTTTTTCTGAGGAATCTTGTAAATCTTCTATAATGAAGAGTGATCGAATCTACTTGAGCTTAAAACTATCCCTCGTGCTACTTACAATACACAATGATCATCAAGATGGTACTTATAGTTATTGGCCTTTTACCTTTTGAAGGTTCTTCAAGCGCTAAAGAAGCCACTCGCGGCAATGATTGATTGCTATCACGATTTTTATATACCTGATGCTTAATTAAGAGCGATAAATACTCCTTATCCACTTGATGATTGCTCAATTCCTGATTACGAAGCAAGGTATCTTTTTCTTCGTATAATTCCACTTTATCATCAAGTCCATTGAGCTTATATTTCTCAAACTAGAATATGCAATGAGTACAGAATAATTACTATTTTGCGAAAATGTACCAATCGCAGAACCTAATTCATTTTCCACTAGCTAACATATATAATCTAGCTATTATTAAGAACAAAGCTGTATATTTATTTAAAATTAGATTCTTAATTTTAGTAAACAGGTTTAGAATTAGACGTATTAGATATAGAAATTTACATGATTGACATTAATGATTTTCTTAAATCTTTCGCGTTGAGATGATAGGGCTACAGTTTGTTCATCTATCAACTTTACGATATCATCGAGCGAATCTTGAAGCTGCCATGATTTTTTAATATAGGAATAGGGATAAAGAAAATGATATATAACAGTTAGGTTATGATACGTCGTTTCGTAAATCAAATTATCTTGACCATGATATAAATTGTAGGATGAGTAATATAAGTTTAAATACTCTGCATAAGAATATTTTACTTCGGTAATTTCAAATTTTCGACTTTTATCTTCCTGGAATGCTAGCCAAGATTCTCCTTTCTTAAGATCTTCTTCAAATTGAAATACGCTCAAGACTAGATCGTATAAAGTTGGATACAATTTCAGCTCTTCAAATTGAAACTGGATTGTTGTCTGGAATCTATGCCAGTATATCATATGTAAAATCTAGACTATAATAATATACTTAAGCTGAATGTCAGCTAGAAAATGTTTTGTTAGAATGCGGGAGATAATTACATGATAGCTTGCCATCAATTAGGACTAACACCATTATAAATGTTAAGATAGCCATTTAGTTTACCTACTAAGCAATAAGTTTTTTCTTGTTCTACTTACATAAAGCTAATTCCTTGTAGTGTAGATCCCAATTTAATGTAAGCCTTTCGTATAAGTTTTGAACACCTTTCCATTGCACTTCCAGCTACAATTAATAATATCATTAATTTTATATTCATAGATTAGCATGATTTCAAACCGAAGACGTTAAATCGTTCTAGCGATTATTGAGAGTAAACAAAATCTGGTTGTGACACTTTAAGAGTTTCTAATTGATTGCATTAATTTACTTCTAGCTTTCATAAATAATGAAATCTATTTGGATCAGGTAAAGAGTCCCAAATCGATTACATTCATTTACAGTAAACTTTCATAAGTAAATAAAATTTATTTAGGTTCGATACTTAACCTCTAATCAATTGCATTAAACTACTTCTAGATTAAAGCAGAGCTTATTATGGTTAATTTTAAAAGGGTCTCTAGTTATACACTATAAGGTAATTGCCGTATATTCATAACAGAAGTTTCCCATTTTATCCTTACATCTGCAATTTTAAAAGTTCAGTAATTTACGAACTGTATAAATAAAATAAAAGGATTCAATTCTAAATTGTAGGTTTTGTATAAATGAGTCCTTTGCATAAGGTTACAGTAATCAATCAGTAATTATTTCTCCATTACTTTACAGTAATTCTAGACTTTAGTTTTACATTTGCAATTTTGAAGCACAGTAACCCATAGACTGCACAAGCAGTCTAAAAAGGACTCGGTTCTTAACTAACAGACATTGAATAGATTTACAGTAATTATCTGATTAGTTGCTTATCCTTTGCTTCCCAGAACAAACTGCCATCTCCTATAATTAATATAACTTATTTTTGTTTATAATTTTACCTCGTTCCGGCAGTAATTTTCGTTATTTTGTAAATCATCAATTTGGGATCGTAAGTGGGTAAATTTATCTTCATAGCTGGAAATTTCCTCTTTAGAGTTAAACATGTCGTTGATTGATCTCCGACATGAATCAATATCCCTATAAGTTTCAAAAAGGAAACCAAGGATGCATATCGTATATATGGTTATATATAGGAAATAGAGTAATAGAATTCTTATTATCATTTTGTGCAGAATACTTACACCGGAGGATCAATGTTATTAACTTGATTAACTTCTTCGTACATATCACAAATCCAATCAATTAAGTCATCAACAACCACCGTTGCTTTGAATACTTCCTGTGTTTGCTGAAGATAATAGCTTCTCCACTCGTTCCGGCGAGCTAAATTTATCCAAGCTTTATCAACATCCTCTTTCACTTTCATAACTTTTTCTCCTTCTGAAGATTCCTCCACTAAACGTTGTGCCTCAGCTCGTATATTACTGACCTGTAAAAGTATAATATTACATTTTTTATGCATTCTATCTGGTGTTGGTTTAATGCTTTCCATATTCAATTACATTGAGCTACCTGATTTTCGAAATTAACAAATTCCAATTGGAAGTTTTGATGTATACGGCACAATGACGAAGTGGTATTTAGGTTAAATCCAAGGTCATTGACAAGAGATTGTTCCTTAAACTGTTAAGAGAATAAATTTGGATAAATAAAGTCAGTGGGTATGAACTATTCTAATCACAGGAGAGTTAAGAAACAGTCAAAGTAATACCCCAGTAGTTTTATTGGCTCTTGAAACTAACCTGCAATTCTTGTAATAAGTCATGAGCATCAAAGTAGTACTTGTATAATTCTCTTGTCTTACTTAATAGCTGTCAAGAATAAAATGACATAGACTGATGTCAATTACAAAATATAAAACAAAATAATCAGATGACATCCTTAAAAACTAATAATTTCGAGACTTGATCTCCAACTAAATACAAAAGGGCAGTACGAGAATAATTAATACTGCATTGGATTCGATTACTGTCTTAAAAGTCTAGAACAAACCTCTCGCCTTTCTTCTACTTGCTGCAAAAACTCGTCCCACGTTATATCCACAGAATTTATCCATTCCTGTAGTGTCTCTGTTTTTTGGGGACATGCTTCGATAATTGCGTTACCTTCTGTATGGACCTTAGTGATGCGGTCAGAAGCTTGGATCTTAGATGTCTCAACCCATTTTTCAAAAGCTTTGCTTATAACCTGTCAAAAGAAATATAATCTTATATAAGAGAAGCGATAGAACACCATCATTTCATAACTATCCTAATAGAGATAAGAAGATAGCGCGCTGACGAAATAATAAATAGTGTTATTTTGATCATCTCTACAGAACCTTACCTCTAATTATACAAACATCACTATTAAATCATGTTAGGCTACATCCTGGGATAGATATTTAGAATTCACTATCCTAGTGTAGTTAAGGAGTAAAAATCTATGCCCTGGCTTGACATTATGAAATTCAGTAATATGAAATTTCTCTTATCCAACAATGTATAATGTAACAGGAAAGAAATCAGATATTGGGCATTATTGGATGGACTATATTAGTATTGAGCATGAATTATTCTGCTACACCTATGAAGCAGAAATTTAAATGTTTTTTTATATAAATTGGGAAAGGGACCAAATATGATAATTGCTACAATAAAGACTATGATAAAGTTCTTTAATTTCCCGAGTCTATTTCTGATTCCTTCTCATTCGGTCACTTTTGTTCTGAAGTGAAATATCTCGGAGGAAAATTCCAATTTATGGTATCTTATCTTATATGTTATTATAATTACTAGTGAAAGAAGCTACGAGAGGCTAACGAATAAAATAATTGAAACTCAAGAGCTTAAGAGCCTCATACAGATATAGAATATAAAAAAAACGAAATGAAATGAAGGAAGGACTCTATATTTTTGCGTTAATTAATAAAAAATAGAAATACGAATATACGAGTATTTCAATTCAGGATATCCTTCTAAAATACAGGCTATACAAACTATTTTTTTGTATTTAAGAGTTATCCATTAATGGCAGCTGATTATTGCGATTACCTGTAGCTGTTCATAGTCATATCCGCAATCTTGTGATTTGGCTAGTAAGGTATGTTCTTGTGTCCACTGATTTAAATCATCAACCTAAACGACAGAAATATAAAATGCACAATCCGTTAAAAGGTAATAATAGCAATGATAGGAATAATTTTAGAATTATAATGAAAGATCAATTGGATTATTTCACGCGTAAGGGGATAAGTAAAGATTGTTAATTTACGATGGCGAGGGCAAATATTTCAAGCGGAGAGTAGAATAAACACTAACTTCACGTTTAAATCGATAAATTCTAAGTAAGAGTTGATAAAGTTCAGTTTTCTCTTGAGCCAAGCTACAAAATTCTTCATAAATTTCATTGATATGCTCTCTTTGATCCTCGAGGGCGTTTCTAATCAATAATAAATAGGAATATAGATTGCTGGTAAGCTATAGAATTGAATCGATCAGCTAAAATTCTACAGTCTATAATCAATTTATCTACTATTAGAAGTAAACACAAGGTTTTCATATACTGTCCATAATTAATTCATGAATAAAGAATGAATTCTACTATCTATAGTTAATTAATCTACTCAACAATTTTGTTTTATTTTAGGAAATTAAAATCCTCAACGTATTTTATGCTTAGGACGATCAATTAATCTTTATCTCTCCATAATTAACTAATTCGCCTATAATTAATTTATCTACCCAATAAATTTTCTCTTATTTTAGTATATCAAAACCGTTAATATCTTCCTATACTTAGAAAGGAACATACAGTCTTCATCTCTTCATAATTAATAACTAATTAATTCTACTGTCTATAATTAAATTGTCTACAATGTAATTTTGTTTCGTTTTAGGAAATTAAAATCATCTATGTCATCTTATGCTTAGAAACGAACACAAAGTCTTCATCTATATTCTCGATATTGTCTACAGCAGAATTTAATTCCTGTAAATGAGCGGAGTATTGATGGATTGTACTTGTATGCGAATCGTGGAGTTTGATAGCCCTCAATGTTGAAACTTCGTTCTATCCAATCGGTGATAACTTTAAATTAGTATGTGTGTACTAAAGTGCAATAGTAAGGACATTTATTACCTTGGGTTTATCTTGTGAATCAATAACGGCAAGCTTTTCATTAACCCACTCTTGAAATTCATTTAGATCAAACATCAACTTATATGATGAAAGTAGATAAGAAGTAAGATTAACGCTAAGCCGTGGACAAATTTATAGTCTGATATTAAATCCAGGAAGATGAATGAGAACAAAATGAATACTGTGATAGCTGTTGGCGCTATCATCCGATAGAATAGATAAGATATCGTGATCATAACTAACCTTAAAAGCTTTGGTATATCTAGCTAACAATTCGTCACGATTTGTACAACAATCTTCCAAGCTAACCCATTCAGATTCTAAAAGATCAGTTTTACTTTGGATATCTTCGATTAAGCTAGGATCTACCTTCATCAACTCATCAGCTACTTGAAATATCGACTCAAAGAGTGGCTCATGATGACTAATTTCATTTCGTAAATGCTGTAATGTTTCCATCATTTTTAAATTGCATTAGTCATCATCTCATCATTAATAAGCTTAGATTCCAAATTACAAATAGATCGGTACCTGATGCATTCTATTCTGGCTTCTGATTTCTGATAAGTTATTTCCAGTTTCTTCTGACATAGCAAGCATTTTTTTCTCATGGATCCACAGCTAATAAAACAATACGACCGTTTATATTGATGGTATCAACCTATATCATCCAATATCGATTGTTTTAAACTATTTAGATATACCAGTTCATCATCGACTTTAAAGCTAAACTGGTGACGTTGTCGTGATGCATTTATTAGTTGTCGTCGCTTTTTGCATGGTTCATCAAATTCATCAATTCTGAAATATTCATTCAAAGTTATTATCAACCATTCTGCTAGCATAGCATAGGACAGCTTATCACGCCTATAGTTCTATACAGTAGACGACTAGATATTCTAGATTATAAGAGCATATATCGAGATCTTTCGAGTTTATAATGGTCATTGCAATATTTATAGTAAGAGTTTAACTAGAGTGGAATAAACTAACCTATTTATAAGTGAGTTAATTTGATCCTTAACTTCATTATCGTCTTCGCCATCTGGATTGTACAGTTCTGAAAGGCGCTTCTTACGATTAGCTAATTCGTTCTCAACCTCCTAGATAGGAATTATTAAGTTATTAAGATTAAAATTTGCAGCAAATTAGGATAATAACACTACAGAATGGCTTCCTTGATGCTCTTTTATGAACAGAATTTCATTTACAAGATAACCAATATCTTTCGCATAAATGTATAACTGACCTGTGTCATTATTAGTGAAGTTAATTTTTTATCGAATAGTCTCATTTTTACACGTTATACTTATAATGACATTTACAGTATCAAGAATTTTTTAAGTATTATGATGATTAAGGTGAGAACCAACATTTTCTATCTCAGTATTGAATGCATAAGGGAGATTAGGATATCAAATGATCTCAAGGCTGCTCTATTGATCAATACTTTTCATGATTATGACGCTAATTTATAAACTGATGTGTATAACGTTAAAGCTAACATGGAGCATTAACGTCAATATGACCCAATGAATACAGTACATGAAGATCGAATATAACTACATTCATATTGAATAGATTAGGAAGATTAGGATATCTAATAATCTTAATGCTGTTCTATGTACATTTATTGTTACTTCTTATGATTATGATGGTAATTTCTATGCTGGCATAAATAACATTATAGCTGATTTCGAGCATTAACGTTGATATGATCCGATCAACACATCAATATTGAACAGATTAGGGTGATTAAGATTTAAAAAAAACCTGCAATACTGCCATAGATACACTAATCAATATTTTCCATCATTATTACTATCATTTATATATGCTGACGTAAATAAATTAGTTATACTAGGTGCTTATAATTACAGTTTCAGTATCCAAAATTGAGATGTGTTATGGACTGATAAGAACAAATTACTAATACCCTTAATATCAAGCAGATTAGGAAGATTAGGGTATGGCATAATCTTAATACTGCTTCACGTACATTGATCGATATCTGTTATCATTATGACTGTAAATTATAGGCTAATATACATTACATTAAAGCTGATATCGAATATTAACGTTGATATAACCAATTGGCTACGATAATTGCATTATCTGTAGCCTTCATGACTGTCAATAAAATGAATAATATTGTTAGCTATTGTTAGCTATTATAAATAAAACTATAATTGATACCAATAGTATAACGCAATAGATTAGGATAAAAATGTAATCCAATAGTTTCTCCATTAGAATTTATAATTAACTTAGCAAATTAATTATCCAATGTGATTTATAACAGAAATGATTGCATTTACCGTTTGTTTTGCCAGGAGTCGATCGCATGTAATCAGATCTTTACCGGTGTCTTCATTGTTAAGGGAAACCTCCACAGAGTTAATCCAGTCTTCAAATCCATTAGCAGCCAATTGAACTTGACGTTGATAATCGAGATTTTTCAACTTTCCCCCCTGATGAGCGGATGCTTGACAGAGTGCCAACCATTGCTTTTGCAAACCATCCAGATTTTCTTCAATTTCGTTTTGCAGATCCGGATAAACTTCCATCAGATTCTCTCCAGTTTCTTTAACCTGATCTAATTGATCTTTAGTAGCTACTAATTCAGCTTCAAAGGTATTATGCTTTTGTAATAGTCCAAATACATTGGATCTGTCCGATATATCAATGTCTGTTGTTAATTTTAATTTTTCATCGATCCAATCGCGTAGCCCTTCGCAGTCTGCTGTAAATTTGTAATATTTATATGATTTATCTAATTCATCTTGGGTTTGCTGGAATCGTCGACGATTTTTCTCTAAGCGTTCGTCAAGTGCACCAGCTTTAGTGACTAATTTATCGCCATCTTCATGCTCTTTAACGGATAACCGCCTAGCAAATTGTTTGAGCTCGTCTACTTTTTCAGCACAAGTTTCAAAGCTTCGCTCATGATCTTTATGATGTTTTAACATTTCTACCAAATTATACAAAGAAATTTTTTTCTGCTTTTCTTTAATGATAACAGATCGAACAAGGTTCTTCAATCTTTTAGTAGGACGACTCTTTGTATTGGTATTAGCTCCAATTTGTGATAATGTTCGAGCAACATACATATCTTGCAAGAGGAGTGCGCCTTCAATTTGCCTACAATTTCCGTAGAAGATGGATTCTTCATAGCGTTCTTGTAAAACTTTCTTATGTTTCTCATATAAATCCAAAAATTCTTGCCAATTATGATTTAATTCTGTCAATTTTGTTTTCAATTGTTGATCTTCATTCTCGTCGTCAAGATAAGGAAGCGATTTTTCGTTAATATCACTAGCAAGTTGAACATGACTTTCAATTTCAGCTTGTAAATCCTCGTGCACTTTAATCGCCATTTCAGCATCCGCAGCTTTAAGCGGTACATGGTCAGATTGCTGATCAATTTCTTGAAGAGCTTTGCTAATCCAGTCTAGAAAATCTTCTATATCAATGAGTAGCCTTTGATAGTCACTGCAATCTCCAATGATAGCGCGTTGTCGATCAATTCGATCACTTAAGTCACCCCATTGAGATTGTAAATTTTGCAACTTTTCATCTAATTGGCATCGATCATCTTCCTCTAGATCAGGTAATTCATTGTAGTTATCCAGAATAGCTGTCATCCTTTCTTTAGCAGCAGCTGAATCGCGTTCAACAGCATTTAATTCACTTTGCAATTTTAATGTTGCATCACTATCTGTAGTAGCAGGTACATTTTCACGCAATCGAGCTGTAATGACTGTAATCCAAGTCGTGGTAGAATCAATGTCGAAACATAATTTTAAAAAGCCAATTTTGCAATGCAAGCAATCCACTTTTTCCTTCAAAATAGTATGTGCTCCATTCCAAGTTTCATTGCAATTATCTCGCATGGCTTCAATTTCATCTAAATTATACTCTAGGCTTTCCAATAGTTCTTCACTTTGCTCTTGTACATGATGATAGCGATCGGCATTTTTATCCAGGTCTGCTTGTATTCCTTCCAATCTTTTCATCATTATTTCAGCTTCATTTAATTCATTGGGTAAAGTTATGGATTTCAAGATCACAATTTTATCATTAGCTAAAGATACCACTGTATCGACATCACTGAGAAATGCGAAAAATTGCTGTAAACTCATTAAACGATGATGACGCTTTTGCACTAGCTCTAATAACTGTTGATAATTCTTTTTAATGGTAAATAGACGCACTACAACATCATCAGAAGCTTTATCAATCTCAGCTAAATCTTCTGCTGAAGCTTCCAAGGTTTCAATTTGAGATTGGTAAGCTTTAATTTCTTCTTGTAAATTTTGATGTGTTTTAAGAATAGATCGCAAACCACTGTCCTCATTACAGTGAACATCGACTGACATTAAACTACTGTGCAGCGTTATCCATGACTCAATCATACTAGCTTCCAGAAGAAATTGTCCAAGCGCTTCTATTTCTGTAATACGTTTCGATCGGATTGCAACGGATTCTTTTAGATTGGACCATAAAGTCTGTAATTCATCCATGTTAGCTAGGACTTCTTCAGCGTTTTCATTTCGAGTTGCTAATATTTCTTGACCATTATCTAAAATTTGCTCTATTACAGCTTCATGACCATCAATATCAGATGCAATAGCTCGATGACGGCGTGCAACCAAAGCTACCGAGGCATACTCTTTAATAGTGGTTAAATCGGTGTGTGTTAGCGATCGTTCAATTTGTTGGATCCAATTTAACTCTTCATCAACATAAGTAAAGAAGTTAAATAAACGTTGTGCATGTTCTAATTGTGCTCGACGTGTTTGAGCAAGCATATTCACTTCAGTAATAATTTCTTGTATTTCCTCAACAGCATCGTTGACTTCACGAGAAACGTCCTCATCTGCAAAATGTCATGAAATAGAATCAATTATATATAGGTATGAAGTGTTGCTTATTTTTCGCTGAAAATGGAATAGGTACAAGTAATATTTGTTTATAAAAACTGTTACAAATCATGAGGGGATAGAAATGACTAGAAAACAACATTGCTAATATTTATGCTGTAATTAATTAGTGAATTAGCTAGTCTACATCAATCTGCAATATAAAATTAGGTTCGATTTTATGATTTTAGATTCGTGTAACTCATTTACGAATATCTTGCAAATCATGCTTGCATCATGCGCATGGAAAGGAAATAACGAAAAATTATAATTTTGCCACGTAGTCTGATCGAAAACTGCTGCGGATATCTTCCTAGTGGCAGGAAAATAACGAAAAACTATGATTTTGCAATGTGCTGTAATTGGGAACTGATCCGGAAAGTGCTATTCAAGATTGCATTTTATACATGGCAAGAAAATAGCGGAAAGTCATCATTTTACCAAATACTCTAATTGAAGAATACTAATTTTGTTTCAATATTCATCAACAATCTGAATAATTATTTTCCTGCAAGGAAAATAATACATAACATCGTCATCTCCTAAAATACCTGCATCATCAAGTGCTTCTACAAAATCTTTGGCATCAGCAACAGTATGCATAATAACCTCTTGATTGGTATTAAAATCTGTTTCAAGTATGTTATATTGCTGAAGTAAATTAGTAACATCAGCTAATTCTCTTCCACAATCTTCCGACTGGAATCCGGCCTGCAAGATAAAATTGTCAATTTTTATTAGGCTATAACAATTTTGATCATGCCACTAAGATTACGCACTATCGTATTCACAGATAGGCGCATATGAATTATAAATTGTTTGCGACTTACTTATAACAAGATGTAATGGCATATTAGGACATATTACATCTTTTGATAATTTAAGAACTTTGTATACAGTATTGTAATATATCCTCATTAAAAGCTATTTCTAATGATAGCTTAAACCTTACGTCACATAATATAGCACTTCAAATCAGATATGAAAATAAACTAGAGTTTAAGCACATTTTCTGGCGGTTTTTAGCTACAATGTAGCTATAGCATATCCTAGCTAAGTTTGGCCATATTATCGATCCATAACTCATCAATTCGATAGGGCCATATGTACAACAAACACCAATCAAAATATTGCATGAAGCGAAATTTTCTGCTATAAATTATCTATAAATAATGTACCATGGACTACTAAATCTTATGAATGTATTTTTTGGCCTAGATTATGCCGAGGTATAAAGAAATATAGACTGTAAATTCTAATTATGGTTTTATTATAAATATTACAGCAAGAAGAAGAATTAATAATGTATAAATTATTAAACAACTTGAAATATTTGTGGCACAGTTTGTAATTTTTCGTTCAAATATTGAATCAATATTTTTTAATATTTATATTTTAATTTCTCAAGCGTATCTATCGAATAAGACATTAGGGTACCTTTATTTCTGCTATAGAGTTCTTCCAGCTGCTAATTTTGCTTAACAATATTTGTAGTTGTATATGTAGGTCCAGCTTGCTACGACGGTATTTAAGAGCTTCTAACAATTCCTTCCAGGTTTCGAAAACATCATCACGTCTACGTACGATGATCATTATTTATTAATTAGAATATCCTCAAATTTTACTTATAAAAAGGATTATTTATTACAACAATTTTGTCCTCACTTTTCTGTAATTCGCTGAATTTCATGGTAATTCTCTCTCTCTAGCTCGCCATGAAGATCATTCAGGGCTTGCACTCTTCTTTGATAGGTAGTAACATCGGCTACAATAGCTTCATGCTTCTTCTTAGAAGCTTCCACAGCTGTTAAAGTAGAGCCAAAATCTTCATCGCTAATCAGGCGTAAATTATCCGTAATCCACTGAAATCTTAACCTAGCCTATTAATTAATAAAGATGATATAAATCGTTTTCGTCTTATTTAACCTATATGATAGGATTTGCTATTCCTATTGACGTGATACCAGTAAGTTAAAGAATAAAGATTCTTAAGACATTTAAAATTCTTGAACCATCTACAGATCTGGCTGTAGATGTAATCGATATAATTATTTTAAAAAAAATGCAGTGCAGATCATATAGTTTACTTGAATACACCAAAATTATTATAAGTTAATATTTGCTAACTATCGTATACTCTTGAAAAAAAATATTTAAAAGATTAAGTGTATACGCATATCAATACTAAATTAATGAATGCTAGCTAAGACAACTACAGATATCTACTTTAAGAGAGTAAAGTCGATCAAATTAGCTCAAATTCCTATTAAACTTCTATACTGTAAATGCATTCTGAGTAACAATATTATGGTTATTGCACACCCAATACAAAATGAGATCTGATACCTTTCTATCAAAGGAGGTCGCTAGCTGTTCTAATCTTTCTTGCCTAGAAAGTATAAATCAAGATAGAGAGGGTAAATCACGGAACAGTGAATATAATGGCGACTGTAACATCTAATGTCCGCAAGGCCATAATCACAGGCTCATTACCTCATAATTTCCTGGCGTAGAGCTAGTTCCGTTTCGTGTTCAGCTTTCTCCAGCTCCCCCCAAGCCTAATCAATATTTATATCGTAAACTGATTTGTTAAAACGTATTATTTAAACCGTAAAATATTCAAGCCAAAAATAACCCATGTGTAGCTGTGATTTCAATATTACCTTGTTGATATTGCGTACGGTTTTACTCTCCTCTGGTGTATATCCCTTCTGATTGTTAGCACGCATTTGACTTTGCAGATTGAATAATTTTTCTTCTATGTCTCCCTTCTCTGAAAATCTAGGTGAATAAATGAGTAGATTATTATTTTTTAAATAACAGTGTCAAATAACAAGTAGTCACAAATTAGCTGAAGATTAATGTTATAATCGCAATCAAATATCCATAAACTGAGTAAAACGTAAACTGCAAATCTTTATATTATAAGTCATACTTAGGAGGTTTTTCTACTATTCGATATGTATTAAATTCGGTGAGTTGCCGTTGTACACCAAGAAGTGAATTGTTAAATTGTCGCTCTGATAGCCTTGTAATGGTAATACTAATCCATTTGAGTAGAGTCGTGGATAAAGTTTCATACTCCCGTATTAACCTAGCATTCTCCATGACTTTGTTCATAACCTTTATTGATAAATTTTTGATGATCAAATTGGTTAGAATATCTATTACAGACACTACTTAAAATCTTGCCTGATCTGAATTATTTGATACTAGAATATGCTTTATTTATAAGCGAGTCAATGCAATATAGCAATACTCTATCAACTGTTTCTAGGTTTAAAGCATTCTAAAAGCTACATTTGTTCAATTTTATGTACAGTTTGTAAATTTATGAGGGAGTAAACCACTATTTGAAGCTAATCAGATCGCTATCATAAAATATTTATTTATACCAATGCTAGATGTGATTTACAACTCAAGGTGCCATCATAGCCCACATAATAATGATATTACTACTCAAATTGAATGATTAGTTGCGCTATTTTTGCGTTAACGTAAATTTTATCAATATTTTCTTGAATAGACCCAAGGAATGATAATTATTTGGCCATTATCAGGTCTATTCCTTAATCTCAATAATATTAATTAAAAAATTTTAACAAATATTATCCATGCAGTGCTTGACTCATTTACTTTTTTATCAGTCCGTATTTAAATTGAAACATATAAAAATAAAATTAGAATTTTCCATAGCTAGTAATTTCAAAAATTCACACATACTTAAGGAATGTTGGTATATTTAAAAGTACTTTATTTCATATCTAATTTGTCTAGGTAGTTTGGTTTGTACATATTTATCTTAGGAATAATTTATCTACCTTTCCAACACGTCGTTCAACAACATCTTCAGCTCGCATTTTGGAAAATATTTGATAATATGATGCGACATAAGTGATGATGGATTTTTCATCAGCATAATCGACTACGTCTACAATTATAAAAAAAGTCCAATCAAGAATATACACTATACTATCTTGGCTAGACTATCTACTGTATGCTTGAGATATTAACTGTATACCTTCAGCATCCAGTAGAGGCATTACACCGAAATTTTCTTCTGCGATACGAAAAGCACTTTGTAAATTTTTAATATCTTCCTTGCTCTGTAAATTGTCGTAGTTTACCAGATCAGGCCTACATTCAGGTAGATTTTATATATCTTTTTTTAATAAAGAGAACTTAATATGAGATGTGCAACTATAATATCATGTATAGAGAGTTTTATAAATATCAAACATAACAGTTAATTATTAAAAATCAAGATCATAACCTATGTCTATGAATTAAAGCATTAAATGCTAATCCATCCTTCCAACTGGTAGTAAAGTTGTTAATCTTCACATTCTTGTATCTAAGTTTAGAAAGACACAGTTTATATATAGAAATGAAAGTCTTATCCCTACAAGCAGTGATCCAGAACTCAAAACATCAGTATAATTTAGTACCATTATACTTTTCAAATAATATTTAGTTATATTTATAAACATGTAACAAATTTATTGCGCTTCAAATAATAATAGCAGAATAAAATTTTGCTATATGCTGCAACTGTACTTAAACAAATTAGCTATAAAATATCTTCCAACGAATGTTTAATAAATACGTATAAATATGGCTAATGAATCCCTAAAAAGATGAAAATAAATTACTACGTTCGTACTAACCCTTGGGTTTTAATCTTGCACCACAGTAGTAAAGATTCTTTAGCTGATCTTTTTTCGCGTGATTCACCGCCATCTTCCTCATCAATTTGAATACCTTGTATCTAAATAGAATTATGAATCAGGTAGTTATCGCCAAAATCTTTAGTATAACGATTATTTTAACCAGACGACTGATAGATAGTTATTAAACTTATAGTAAAGATCAAATACAATTTGGGAAGCTTGTGAAGTGAATTGTGAAGTAAATTGGGCAAATCATTTATATATCTTGATTATTTTGCTCTATGTTTACCTGAAATCTTAAAATGATAATCCAGATTAGGCCGAGTGTGATGGTATGATTGCTATCAATAATATCATTCGCGCCGATATTCTCCAATTTTACCTAGAAATATTGTTATTAACATGAATTATCATATTTTAGTAAATTAGTCCCTATATTGTGCGACGGCAACAGGCCACATTAACGTTCCTATTGAATCTCTCCAAAAGCTGTATACGAGTATTAATCTAAAGAATCGAAATCTGGAAACTCATGCTTAAAACTAACGTTTTTCTTTTGCAAATATGTTAGAGATAAATTAATGTTTTGAACGCGTTGGATTCGCATTTTTCCTCTGGTGATTTTACCCTAGAAAAGACATTTAAATGGGTAAATGAAAACAGCATGAAGTACGTAACACTGCAGTTAAGAACATAAATAGCATCGGAATTGATGAAAAAATTGATTGCGATATTAGCATTTCCATATTAATTTGATACATGATGTACAGAAATCACATTAGCAATGATCTTTATTTGACCTACTCGAACATAAATATTTTCCTAGTCTTTTAAAATTAAAGCGTATTTAGCAATCATTACGATGATGATATTATTACTTTCGAAAATATTAAAGCGGTAAAATAAAAAAAATTTGGTTCAAAGCAAATTAATTGTTGATAAAAAAATTTTAGCATGATAAGGTAGATCATTAATGATCCACACGCCGTGTAATTGTAGCGGTAACAATGACGCTAGCTAAAGTGCCTTTTAATTCTACCTTATTTAATCTAATTTGAATGATAGTAATATTTTATCGTCATAATGTATCTTAGTATGGGAAGGTTAATAAAATTAAATGATAAAATTGCAGGATAAGAGTAAATGAATAATTATTGAATAGAAATAAGGAAATCTATGATATGGCAAGTGTTGTTTCCAAAGAATTCAGCAAAATTTTGAAGTATTCCGATAATTATAGCACTTGTAAGACATTCCGTAATACGCGTAAATAAGCTTATCCAAAATTTCTTAGTAAACTCAGGCATTACTAACGAATGATCCTAGTGATATTATTTATTTCTCTATGTTATATCGAAGTAAGAGTGTGTAAAATTTTTGTAATCAAAATGGACTAATAACATAATTGATATGAAAAGTCGACATGATAATCTTATGGCTTTCAAGCAGTCAAGCATCGCTTTCTATAATGGAATGGCTCCTGTAACACCTGTTAACTATCTCTAAAGGCTACACTATTCTAATTTCTACGACCTAAATTCATAGGCGCCGGAAAAAACTTCCTTAATAACATTGCTTCTTTGTATCTTATCGAATCAAGGTAGCGAGAAATAATAAATATGAATATTTTAATATCCGCTACTAAATTGTAGTCTAGTAAGAATAGTTTATTGCCGCAATAGCCATGTGCAAGATTGATTCATGGCATTACTGCTCAGAATTTGTAACATTTTGTTAAGCATCTCTAAAGTAGACTATTTGATACGGTAATTTGCTAATCTAGTCTAAATTTAGCTATTAGCTATGATTATTCTCTATATATTGCAGTGTAACGAAGGACTTCATCAAATTTTAAACAAATATGAAATCAAGAAACAATACGAATAATGAGTTGAAGAATGATTCAATAACGATCTCATATGCAATAGAATTTTTAGATGGGCTATGCCTGCTATTATTGCATTTGTGAAAGTAGATCTCAACCCAAGTTTGCATAATCTAATTTAATTAATGTCTTTAAAGGAATCTCTATTCATTTTTTTGTTCTATTAATATTATAATGACAATATAACGGCACAAATTTCTAGCTAAGGTTAAATTAATAATTATAATTTATGCTGACACTCAGTGTAATTAGAGTAGATGAGCCCTTGTATTATCGTTAATAAACTAATCTCCAGGTCGATATTATTCTGATTTTGTATTGGCTAATTTAAGGGAGGCGTTACTTATGATTTTTAATAATATTATTCTTCACATTGTAGCAAGCCGTCAGTGTGATATAATGGCAGCATAATTAAATCTAGCGATAACAATAAAGTCATCAAGCGTACCACTCGTTCGCCAGATAGAACTTCAAGTAGTCGTAAAATAATAATTCCATCTTTTAGATCTTCATATAGATCTTTCACTTCGAGATGGACTTTGGCGATATGAGAATTAACCCATTTAGTGAAAGTTTTTTTCTGGACATTTTCTCGTTCACCTATTCTCATAAGAAGAAGTGCAGGAATAAAAATTGAGCTGGTCATTATAAGATAGCCAAGTCTACATTAACCTCTATTTTTAATATAGCTAAAGCCAATAGCGCAATGTTAATATACGAGTTCATTATAGGCAATATATAATATATGCTACAATGACCTTTTATCTTCTGGCTTTTTATATGTAATAAAAGCCAATAATTCAAGTTTAGATAGAAGAGAATTACAATGCAAAACGAATTAATAATTATAAGCATATTTTCGTTAAAAGATCGACTATAAGTTTGAATACATTAGAATTCGGTGTTAGGTTTAGTCAATGCCTATGATTTTCTCGCGTAAATAACTGACCTGCTAATGCTTTTCTAGATTTCTCAAACATTCCTGCTCTTGCTTCATCATTATTTTGTGACATTGTTAGTTTTCCTATTCATATGGAAATGGTTGCGAAAGTCAATAATCTTCAAGTGTTTAAGGCACTATGTCAATAATTTCATCTACTGAAAACGGAAAAGAAACTATTCCATCGTAAAATGCATACTAAAAAGGCGTGAAAAACTGACGTTTAACCACCAACAAAATTGGTCTTAAAGTTTCGTTAATAATGTCATTCATCAACAGCAAGGATATTGTATCATTAACTTTAGAAAGAAAATAATCAGATATCCATCCTGAATGCAGAAGAGAGCCGTATAAAATTTACATAAGTCTATGCCGCATTGCCTCAGGTCAAATAGAAGATACAAACTTTTGTTACTTATTGTATCACGTTCAGCGACGACAGACAATAGCAATAGTTAAATGTCTTGACTTCTATTCAGCTAAGAAATAACGTAAGCCGTGTCCTTGATAATAATGCTATTTTAATGGTATAGGCAAATACGAGATTTCTTTCTACCGAAAGGATTATCTTGATGAAAGTACAACAGACTATCTTTTGATAATCCGGCTGAGTAAACGAGCAAAACATGGGCATATCCGCAATTATTTAACGTACGAGTATACGGTTAGCGATGGCAATTTTTAGCCCTATTTTTTTTAGGATCACAAAGTTAAGGAAGTGATATCAAGCTGTGTTGCAGACAGCTGCCTATAGAGATTTATCGATCTTTAGTAAGAAAAACAACTACAGGATACATTGCACTAGTAAATCTAAACATCTATAATCCAACAAATGATTCGATTTTAGCGTGTAAATTGCAGGTGCCTAATAACGATTAAATGAATCCAATGCTAAATTATCAGAAATAGAGAGTAATTGAAATATTTTCTTTTAGTAGACTAGAAATATATATAAAAATCATAGGGACGATGTATTTTACCACGTGCGAAAAGGTTGATAGGTTGCAGAAATATGACAAGGCTTAATCAGTAGGGCTTCTAAAATTTTTTTTTGAATTGATGTAAGAAGTGACAATTTTAATATTTAAAATAACTCCTTTTAAGCATGATTATAAAGCGGATATATCGTAGAAGATGTAGCTGCTCATCAAAATGGATAACTGTACTAAATATACCGTAATGATCATCTATTCTGCATAAATTCATCAATAGCAGTATTGATAAAATGATGGATAAAAACTCGATTTGATTTGATTTGCTCCATTGGCGTAAAGGTGATCCAAACTTACCAAAGATTAGTGCTTTAGTTAGAAAGCTCACCAATGACTTGTATTGATAATTGCTTACAATTTCGTTTTCGCTTGGATCACTAGCTAGACCAGGATAAACCTGCTAGAACTCTATCGATTCCCGATAAATATGAGATTAGCAAGTCCTTACCACTAACAGCCGCCTTGACGATCCAGTAAAAGTTAAGATGAGCTATGAAACTGATTAAAATAGGCTGCAGCCTTATATCGTTATGGTTAATAAATGCAATGAAGAGGATGCACGTATATTACAGAATAATATGACTCATTGCATTGTCACAGTGGTTATTAGCGTTATTATATTACAATATCGTTGAGGGAATACGTCAATCACGTGTATCAAATCACAACATAATGAATAGGAGCTTCATACCACTAACCGCTAAGCTATATTCTATTTCTACCAATCATTTAGCATAGCAGACAATGCTTAGCTTACTTGTCGCAATTTTCAACATAGCTACGAGTTCAATGTTATTATCAACAATGATGAGTAGCATTAATTAATAGTACAACCTGCGAGTGTCTGGACTACAGGTCTAATTTTTTAAAGATTTTTACGGTATACGATATTTTAAGATACAGTAATATCGTCGGATATAATACAGTAGGCAAAAATTAATTATGTAATTTTGATTAAATTCAAACAACAATGTTTATTTAATCTTGCTGCAAAGAGTAACCATCCAATGCCGAATTTCTAAACAAGTTAAACTCTAGTGAATGTACAATGTTACCATTATTATGTGTTCCTTTCACAATGTAGTACGGTGAATTAATATATTTCGCTTACGATCGCAATTAAGTTAAGCCTTTATTGATCTATTTTGTCTATCGGATCGACTAACTAGTGCTTCATTTATAAATTATGGTGCAATTGATAAATTAAATTTATAAACGTTTCACAAATAACCGTAAACGCGAATAACATATTGCAAGCTATAATGAATTATACATGCAATCATGCTAATTATAAGGAAAGCGTCAACTTGGAAACCACAAGGTTACAGAACAAACCGACGATACCAGTTCATGGTCTTCATTCCCAGTGATACTTTTATTATCGTTACTTTGACATGAGTAACGATAACCACGTTGATAATTGAACCGCATAACGTCACAATCACCCAGTAGGTTAATCTTTTAATTATGTCTGCTTTATTAGCTATACAACAATAAAACTATTGATCTCAAATGTAAATACGTGTCTGGTCTACGAGATCCAAGACCTCATGTAATACGAGCGCAGCAATGCCAGCAATGCACGTAAAAATTCAAAGTATTCTTGTAGACCTTAGAGCTCTTAATTTCATGTAGGTAAACCATCAATACCTTGCTCGTACAACAGTGCAGTATCATAAATTACAAAGAAATCATACCAAATCTATGCCATCGATAGGAAATAAAGCACGACGTCGCCAGATGATAAAGCTCGTCGAAATTGAAACCGCTAGTCAAATTTATAACTTTAAAGAACTTACTATATAAACGTAATCTGTATCCTATGTCATTGATGCTCCAGTTAACGGTATTATATGGTAATAACAATTAGGTAAATAGTAAAACGTAGTATACATTAACATGTCGCTAAAAAAAATTACAATTATAAACACATCAGAAAATATGCCAGTAAAAGTCATTTCAGGAAAATCTTCAATATATTCGTACGCCAACCCTGACACTAGCTTAGTTCAATGTGTTGGCTGCGGTAAGATATTAAAGAATTACAATAAAATTTGTTTAAGATCATTCAAATTATTAAAGGGGAGTGAGATAATCCCATTATGAAGATTTACGTACTACAAGAATCGCAGTACTAGTACCATGCATAGCGACCAGTCTCACAATTTTAAAAATATCTAAACTAAAGCGACGACTACAAAATTTAGAACCTATCTCTTGTAACGATTTTGTTCAAGAAATCGAATAAAATCTACTTCTTAAGCAAGAAATGTACGCTAACTTGACAAATTATATCAAGTGAGCAGCTACAATAAGCAAGTATTAAGGTGTAGTTATTATATTGTTACAGCATCAACCAGGAACTTACATATATTTTCTATGTCTTATCATTGTACTCGTAATCGCATTCAATATAATAAAAATTAGCAATCATTTCACGACGTCGCGAAAGTAAAGATGTCAAATTTTTTAAAATTATAATCTAGAGGAGTGTCATGATCTCCGAGTAGACCCAACTTTAACAAGATATTCCGCAAAAGTAACGGTATTTTATAGAAGTTTACAGGGAATATCACTATAATTATTGTAATAATTCATTCGCTTCCAACATTTCTAACAATAGGTTGTACATTGGTACCTCTCCTGCGACTTTGATACTAAAAAGTTTTTCTATTCCCCTAGAGCTAATTGCCTTTAATTCTGGTAAAGTCATTAATAATTGAGCAAATCGCAAAGGTTGTTCGGGGTAATTCAACAATGTATACCGCTGAAGTGCCAGATATAAAGTCCCTTGAACCGACTCTACACGACTGACATCGGTTAGATTTCTTGAATCTAGTTAAATTATCCACATAAGATTAATACACTTTTCATGGTATTCTGTAAATTTACTTCCGGGTATAATACACAATTTACTTAATGATTTCCGAACAGAAACTCGGTATAAAGTTCAACTTACCGGAGTTAACTAGCGCAATCGCTTTTAAGCAAGCAAATTCTTGCTTATCCATACTAATGCTTCTATACTTAGTGACCAATTCAAAAGCGTGCCTATTTATTTCGTCTAACCCAGCCGCACGAGATTGCTTATGTCCCATAACCATATCACATGCGTAAACAAGCTGATTGAGAAGTTAAAAATACGCATCAACGTTCTTTTCCTTCGTAAGTAAAACTACAAGATATTTGTACTATATTTGCAATATATGAATGACTAACTTTGTTATCATATGGCATCGAACGGAACGCTAGATCAATCATAAATACTTCAAGCCAGGATGCTTGCAATAATACTACTTGATCGTTCAAACAAAGACTGGTATACCCAGGAATTCTTTTCGCCCAATCAATTACCATAACTAACTCTCTTTCTACCATTTCACAGATTATAGTTATAGTTCGTATGCCAGAGTCTTCGGCTTCTGGATCTGGACAAGCAGGTAGCATAGGCGGTTCAGCTTCCAGTAACTTCTTGATAACATCATTTACGATTATCTGTTTCCCATCACGCTACAGGAAAAATTACATTTATATTTCTTATCAATTGAAAATTTTCAACGGCCTTTGCATCTTGTATGTATTTAAGATGCCATAGAATTATCTAATAGTACTATAGGAATGCCCGCTGCACTAATTAGCATTTACAGTTTTAACAAAGTTTTTAAAAAACTGATGTATTATACTGTATTTGTTGATAGTATGAAATAGTCATTGTGAAACTTTACCTTTTGGTCGATAACGTATTTTTCTCCACTACCAATAAATTCCTTTAAAATTTTAATATCGTAACCTTTGTCAGGAGATGGAGTGGAAGGTAGTCTAGTACAATTTACATCGATGTACTTGTCTTCATTAATTTTTAAAGACTGAATGGAATTATCCTCAGCTTTATCGGTATCAGCTTGAGAGAAACTGGAAGCTGTAGATGAACTAATGAAACTGTCGGGACTGGTGACACTTTTACATTGCCCTACTGAAGCAGGTTTTTCGTACTTAACTCTACCACCAGGATTTCGATTTTTTCTAACACCTAATAAATAAATAAATTTATAATAGTACTCAATTTATACCGTCAAAATTATGCAATAAGCCGGGCGAACAAAAACGTTGTTCAATGATAACCAATGGAGATAACGACGTTATATTACATCCCATTTTACTGATAAAAAACTGACAGAGTATCGAAATATTAGTATTTATAGTATCTGTATGCTACATCCGGCATGCTTTTATGTGTAGGACTACAAAGTGTCCTGGTTACCTTCTCTGATCATCCCCACATCGAAACATTTTTGGAGTCGACATGCTTGGCAACATTTTCTACGTTGTTTATCAACTTTACATCGACTTCCAGAAGGACAAGTATAAGCAACGGAAGATTGAATGCTACGTTTAAAGAAAGCTTTACAGCCTTCGCAAGACAGTACACCATAATGCAGACCCTAACATGAATAAAGGAAATAGTTGTAGAGGTTAAGTAAAGATGTTACACCTTCAAAGCGTAAAGCCTTTACGATATTTAATGCCTTCTGCTAGTTCTCTTTTAATATATTATGCATACCGAGGCACGATCACCACAGACTAGACAAGCTTGATTTTGGCTGAAAGTACCATGTTCAAGATTGGGGACGGATTTTTCGGACGGCACTATAACAGCAGGGACTACAGGGATAGAGATTTTACTAGCGTCATAAGATTGATTTTTTGGACGAAGCATTCCACAAAGGGAAGCTGGCGTGGGAGCCGTATATATTGGTAGTCCTGCAAGCGGTAACGGCTGTATTCTATCGACACTGTTATGCAACGATGTTATGTTATCATTCTTCGAGTCCGAGGAAGTGGTGGTACCAGAATCGACTCCCTTATCCAGCCGGCTGGAAGCAGTAGAAGTAAATACCAATTGATCACTGGCGCTTGTGACCGGTTCAATTGGAGTACCAGAATGACTCGCAAAAGTACTTGTCATGATATGTTCTATTTAAATTAATTATTATTTTACTTTATACAGTTGAGCTTTCAATTAGCGTTTCACAGAGTTCTGCTCGTAAAAACCAACCTCTACACCCCAGTTTCATAGCATTAATCCCAAAACATAGTTGACACTCTGAGCTACAGCAGAAAGACAAAGTAAGAGTTAATTCAACGGCAACTATATATCTATGATTTAACAACATTATACGAGTAGAAAATGAGTAACTCATTAAAAAGTTGAGTATCGCTTGGATTGATCATGTAACAAGCACACCTATACACGTATTAAGTAGACCATGTCAACGTCATGATAGTATCGCGGAAAGTAATTACGCGATTGTGCTATTCTATAATAGTCTCTGTTGGGTATGACTTTGGGATCAATATGGATATCTGACTGCTACACTATTAAATGATTTTTGACTCTTTTTACTGTCGATTTAGATTGTATCTAAGAGTTCTGTGTTAAATGGGCTTCTCATCCCTGTTTTTCAAATTAAAATTTTGGAGAGATATATTGCCAATCTACTGTAGTTTAATACAACGCGAATATTAGCAGATATTGCTTCTGAGAGCAATTTTCAAATCATGCACTGGTTAGAGCAGTTTGTGCAATTTACTGTAAAAGTGAAGAGATTCAGATCAGATTCTGGAACGTTATAGCTAGACAAGTTAAGTTCAAATTGAGTTCATCTGATGTTTGTATCCATGGGCACATGATGTATTTATCTCTTGAAGAAAATTTTCCATGGCAAATCTGCCAGATCCTGCAAAACAAAACGATGCAATGACAAATTGTCTAATTTTATTATCTTCCCTTCTTATTCTAATTATTTATTGATGACATTTGCGCAGTATAACAGACTGCAGAAACAAACTAACTGAGCTGTAGGTAAGGCAGAGGTACTGGAGTCAAATAATGCCAATAAAATAAAATAATTCATGACGGTAATTCCTGTACACAGGACAGTGTACAGTCGAGCTATACCGTACCGTACTGTACTGTATGTACTGTACACTGTGGCAAGTGGCGGTTGAGAGTGTGGGTGATACGCTGACCTCTAATAGTAAACTACTGTCCGTACTAGTGGTTAGTGCTATACTGTACTCTCCATCCACAACATGGCTCCCGAATTCTGGCTTTTACAAGAAGAACTGTCAAGAAAGTTTTCATTTTCCCGTTCGTACTCATTCTGCAACTTTTATTACGGTATAATGTATTTTTGTTAGCAAAAGTAGAGTAGGAAATGATTGATTGGGCCCGTTTTTCCCTTCCAATACTGGTGTACTGTACTGTACTTTACCATCATTACCATAGTGCAATGCCGCATTGCACAGTGGTCATCAAAATAAATAAAAGCCAAATCTTCGCTACATGGTAACTAGCAATTTCCTACACGGGTACCAACAATATATACTCTCCATGACAAAGGTACTGTATACAGTGATGTGTGTATATTGACATATATATATACGATTGTAGAATGACGCACAGTATTGGGTAGGGAAAATGTCGCTGCTAAAAAAAGGATGACGAAGATTTCACTAAACTAGTTTAACAACTGTCGTTAAATAAGTAACTTGGATCAAATAAGTGTAGATAGCTATGGATACCGATCATGGGAAGCTGCTGTAAACCAGGCTATCTACTAAAAAAAGGCCTATGCTCCATTTGTAGTTTATAGCTGAGATTTCCGATGCTATGTAATATACCGCGAAATTTGACGACGGTTTATCGAGTCATTACGTCTAAAAATTCGATAGCATGAGCTTGTACCTAAAGTGAATTAATTAACCTTTACAAACTCGTCCATCCTATGACATTAAGATACAAACTATGATATCAACCGCGTCCTATTTCAGATTTATAAAGTGCAATCGGGCAGTCTCGTCCTATGTTAGCTGACGATCAGTCCATGATTATCTACCGGTCGACTGACTACCGTACGTATTACGTACAGTACAGTGTACTGTATGTTGTAGTGTGCAGTACAGTACAGTACTGTACAGTATAAGACCCTGAGAGTACAGTACATACAGTACTGCATTCACTGTAGGGTTGACGACCTTCAACATTGTGAGCCAACATACGAGTGCTTTACAAAATGGGGTTAACCCGTACTTTTCGATTCAACGATAGGCTTCTGTTGAAAGTTTGAAACTTTGATACAATTAGGGAGTAGCCCATTCTATATACAATACATAGATTCAATAGCATGTTCTCTCTATTCTTGAACTTGAAACTGGCAAAATTGAAATTCATTGATGCTTAGCGCAAACTGCACAGCAATGGAGCTACAGTCTGTACATCATGATGCAAGAATGACTATCGATTATGTTAACTTTACAGCAATAGGAAAGCCAGCTTCATCACGTACAGTGAGCGACTACAGATAGTACACAAATTTAGAATAAATTCAACATTCTATTCATATATGACTTACTTGATGTCAGCAACGGTAAAAGTCGGCGATATCCGCTTCTTTATTTATCAGACATAATAGTAGTGCCGCGGCAACGGGGATGAGAAGAGGCCGTACTTAAGGAAACCTCGGGCTGCTCGTTTTCCTGAAAAATGCTCTTGGGTTCCAACACTACTTTACATTGTAAAGCGATATTCCTACAGCAGCGATGTAGCGTCTTCATTCCGTGCAGAACCGTACAGTACAGAGTACTGTACACTGCGCACTGTACTGCACCCGTGTAGAAAGGGGTACAGTACAAGATCATGGGTTTGACTAGAAATTTCTGGACTGAAAAATGTCTCTTATTACAGTACAGTACATGTACTGTACTGTAATGGACAGACTTGTCGAAAGGTAAACTGGACTATCGGTACCGGTGTCATGGACTGCATCGGCCCATCATATTGTACATACGAGGGATTGCAACCCGTGCGAAATTTGTTACCAGAGTATGGAAACCCGGGTGCAATCCCTAGTACGGACGCATGAACGCCACCATGTAGTGCATGAACGCGTTGTATAGTTAAGGTTAAGGAAGCTTATGGCCGAACACGTAATAAGACTCGAAAAAGAGAGACTAGTCAACACAACCTGAACAAATACAGTATGCTACATGAGCTACACCTAGCTACTCTAAATCAGGAAACGAAGTCGGAGAAAATGATGATCACAATGATTGTAGTACAATGCATATACATATCGTATCCTGTAGCCTGCAAGTATGGGTGTAGTAATTTCCTATCCAATATAGGCTCAATTTGAACGAATAGCTAGCTGATCAACCGCCAATTAGCTCAAAATGCTTGTAGGAATTCGAATACTGTCTTAATACAAGGGTATTTTAGAAAATGGATTAACTTGTGGATAAGAAGGCATGTACACTTGTTCAGCACAGTATAGGGTTAAAATAACGGTCATAAAAAAATGAGTCCGCATAGGTATACTGAAGAAGGCAAGATAAGAAAGAAGGCCAATAATAACCAGCTTATCGACTATATCCATAAACTCCAATTATACTCGTACGAATAACGTATTCAATCGTTCAAAGCACTGTACCTAAAGTGCGTATGGCTAATCACAACCTAAATCAGTTTGCGTCTCTAAAATTGAAGGCGTAATGAATGCAAACGTAATGTCACGGTATCTTGTTGCTCTAAAATGCCGAAAATTACATTATTGGTAATGGAACAGAAAGAAATAGTAAACAGATAAACGAAATCAAGATATTAATTGAAATGTTGGTCGGGGTGGTACACATAGAACGAATATTATACAATAAAAAACGAATACACTGCAAGTTCGGCTGTGCCATTAGAATACGCGTATCTTGAGTAAAGCTGTACCGCGCAGTACACACAGACTAGTCGTTAGGAGCTAGCATTGCAGGGCTTAGCCGTAAACCTGTTTCCGTTTAAGACGAAGGCTATGAATAAAATTTGTATCAAAACATCGTTTACGTATTAATTCAAATAGAGCAGTTATCTGCTATCATTTAATATAGTCCATCAGATGCAATCTTTTATAAAGGCTATGCTTATGCAGTAGAATGAATAGCATGGATAACATAGTTTTTATACATTAATTATATATTTAGCTATTCACTGTAATTCGGTCAATCTACTTGTATACGAGTATATTCGCTCCTTTAAAGCAAGATAAAATAAAAATGCTTATTCTTTTAGCAAAATTGGATAACATTTCATTCACACTTTCATCAACAACCGGTAATATTAGCCCAATTGATAATAGTAGAATAGGATAAGGCTTAGTCTTGAAGTAATTTAAAATAACAATAAATGACATTTTCGCCTTTAGCTTCAGGTTTACTCATATGGATCTTACGTGTAGGATTACTTTCTAGTAATGCTTCATGCATGCTATGAATTAAAGCTGCTGCTTTTTCGTAATTGAATTTATATAGAATGACCAATTTAATCCTGTAATTGCGATCCAAGTACTTATCAATCTGATTAATCCTATAGCGTAAATCATGCTGACTAATGTTGTGTTTAATACGATATTCTTTTTCCATGATTTCTATTTTTGACCTTTCCTTTCGCTTGTTCTTATCAAGATATAGTTGTTTGCCGGATATTAATCTAAGAAATAGAAATAAATTCACTTTGTTCAAATTGATACCTTTATTGTCATGTACTGTTCACCGTAGCTATTGTGAAAATTCACTCATAAGGTATAGTATCAGAAAATAGCTCTAGGGTTCAATCCCATTTCGCAACGTTACAATACAAATGATGACAATTTTCTCTTGAAGAAGTCACTATATAATCTTTACCTACAAACTGGAAATGGCTTAGCCTGTGGAGAAACTTCTACCAACTTGAAGCCTTTGCTCTCCGCTATGGACAACGCATGGCTCTTTTCTTTTTGGCCTAAATTGACTCCATTTTCGTCGATTAAGAGTACTGTCATGGCTTTTATTTGATCATCCTTTCGGTAAAGTTTTTGACGATAACAAGAAGAAGAGGTCATTAATGGTGATTTATATTGCAAAACATTGCCAAGGGGCAGATTTGGTTCTTTACCACAAAGTCTGTTCGTTAAGATTGCCCTAAGGAAGATACATCGATATATATATAGATCTTAATCATTATCTTACAATAAGTATACGCTACATAGAATGAATACAATAAGGTAAAGTTTCCATGGTACACTTATTTGAAGTCCATCGTTACTTTTCCACGACTACAATTGCAATCCAATCAATTTATTCCCTACTTTAACATGCAATTGTATCGATGCCATAAACTAAAGTAGAGATTGATATAAACCTAACTAGTCCAATTGCTCGTTGCTGAATTCAGTAACGGTCAATAGGTGTATTATGACTTTTAAGCTATTGGCGGTTCTTTATAAGCAAAACGAATTGTTGCTGATAGCCGCTACACACCTCCATAGGATGGAATTTTTCGCAAGCGATTGCCTGACTAGCATACTCCAGGATAAATAATTGACGACTATGGACACTTGCAAGTCATATCGGAAAATAATCAATTTTCAAGCAAGCGATAAGTTACCTACAGATAAATAGAGAATTTGATTATTTGTCGTTGATTGCAATGTGCCTCGTGCAAGAGTCATTCATGAAAGTACTCATAAACCCATGGTGAGACTGTCAGAACATAGCCGTAAGTTGCACGTTTATGCTATTTGAGGTGTTGAATCGATCCTCAATTCGCCAGTTGTATCGTATTGACCACTAGAGTAGTTGAGTTTTGCATACGCGTATTTTAATACGGCTGTGCACAGTTTGCAAGTTGTTACTATTGCGCACGTACTACACAATATTGAAGTTGATGACTGTACTTAGGCTGTAGCTCATGCATGCATTTTCAATGCAGTGATGGAGAAATTTCAATTTGTACAATTTGCATACTGAATTTCAATAGTTATGTATGCACAGCTATTGGAGTGGGTTTGTAGACGTATTAACGCACCTCTAGTACAGTACTGCTTGTATCAGGCAAGATGAAGTCTTGATTTCAGTTCAGTATACCAGTAGCAACGATTATACACTGCCTATAAAGTACTGAGGTAGTTTTATGAATCAACATTAAACATTCATGGCAAGATAATCGCTTTGATGCATGAATCAACCAATTGCAGTCGATTTAGCAGTCTTACCTACGTGGTACTTCAACTGGCTAGCTGAATCAAGTTTGAAAGTCAGCAAGACTCTAGCTGAGGACTTGAGTAAAATTTTTGAACGCCGAGTATTCTGCTTTCTCTCTTTTCTCTCGGTTCTCTAGGCCGAATGTGGAAAGAGTAGAAAACGTTTGGTTCCGCTTCCAGGATTTACAGTACTGTAGTGAACCGTCTATTGTACTGTACTTTACAATACATTGTACTGTAAAGTGTACATTACAGTCCATTGTACTGTATCGCCTACAGTACAGTACTGTGCACTGTACAGTATGTACTGTACAGTACAGTATTCTAATAACTAATGATCGGTGATCGGATCAGTTATTTTCAATCTACTTTACTGTACTATTCGTATACTGTACAGTAAGTGAAGCATACTCGTATTTTCAATCCAATTTGTTCCTCAATACCAATACTGTTATAGATGAAATATTGTAGGTACAGTACAACGTCGGGAGTCCTGAATTCTTCAGTATAGTACCAGTATTTTGCATACTGTACTATGCAGAATGAAGGCAATGCACGGTACAGTGTACAGTATCATGTTCCGTAGTTTGCCCACTTTTGCGGAATGAAAGAAATACGCAGGTGCATTCCGCTAGGAGCTGCAGTGCGCATCCGCGTTCCGTTCCGTTCCATTCCGTAGTTTACTCGGCACCGTACTGTATGTACTGTACAGTACTGGTACTGTACTGTACTGTAGGTCTACACTACAAACTTCGTACAGTACAGTACAGTACTGTACTGTACAGTAAACTGTAGTACTGTACACTGTACTGTAATGTAACAAAGAAATTGATTAGGGTTCCAATTATTATTGTTCTCTTGGTCTTGACTACTGTACAGTGTACAGTACTAACGTACTGGAGTGAGCGTACGTACTGTACACTGTACACAGATCGTCACGTCTATTCTCTTGGACTTAGTACGGCCAAGCAGTCACTGTCAACTCCGACGCCATACTGTGCACTAGTGTACAGTATGGGCGCTCAGGATTGTATGCGCACCCGATGGCGTGCTGTCCCAACTTGTCCTTTTCCTTCCTCAAACTGCCTACCTGGCTTACATTACTCTGTCGCTGACGAGTACGCCCGCGTGCTTGACAAATTGATTGAGAAAGATTTTCAATCATCGATTGTGACTCGTCGGAGAAGCAATGAAATCCACTTGGTTTTATTTGGCATTATTAGTTGGTGCTTTTCTATCCACTTCGATCGTGAAGGGACAGGATGGAGGACCATCGGCTCGATTATTGGTAGGTAAAAATGTTCTCAATAATATGGTGGTGGAAAACAAAGAATTGGTCATCAATTATGAAATTTATAATGTTGGCCAAGGTACTGCTACCGAAGTCGAATTACAAGATGATATCATCAGTGGTGATAGCATGAAATTAGTCCGTGGAATTCTACCAGTGGTTTGGGATCGTATTCCACCCGGTGGCAACGTCACTCATGCTGTTGTTCTTAAACCGATCAAGGTAGGGCCTTACAATTTCACCTCCGCTCGAATCAGTTATACCATGAACGAAAATGGCGATCGACAACTCTCTTTATCCACGGCACTGGGTGTCACTTCGGTCATGAATGAAAAAGAATATGATAGAAAGCACTCACCACATTTAACGGATTGGGCTATTTTTGGTTTACTCAATATACCTATCATTGTTATTCCATATTTGATGTGGTATAGCAGTAAATCAAAGTATTATACTCCTAAAGCCAAAAAAGCATAATTAGAGTATTAGTGTATCTCCATTGCTGTATCTGCTTGTGCTCTTACTGATACATTAATGCTGTACATTTGCTATCAACGGATAATATCATTTTAGTACGCCTCTCTTGTGCGTGTCTTTCAAATTCATACAAATATTACTTCTCATCTTGTCATTCGGTTTCGGTTAGGATAGAACGATGACATGGAAAACTATTAAAGTGACTGTATTAGTCAAAGATCGCCATGTCTACTTGATTAACAACAATTTTTATCATCCAATTGAACTAGTCTGATACCGAATGCATTATCCAGAACTGGAGAATAATTATTATTACAAAAACAAATGCAATTGTTGACGTTATTAAAACAGTTGGAAAATGTATATCGATGCTACAGTTGTTGAATTGACTCTACTAGGTGAAGAAACTATCCATTTCTTCTTGCCCTGCTCTTCCCACACGCCAAAGCTGAAATTATAACTTACATGAATAGATTTTCCTATTATCCCTTTCGATATGCGTATTATATTGCTTGCTGTAGAAATTTGACTGTAAGATATCAATAGTTAGCGTGCTACGATTCTTGTTATTTTCCTAATTGCTTACACAAATTAATCTTAATCGGTCCGGTTAAATGTATTGCTTATATTACATTCTAATAGGCTAATTCACCAAGGTATTCACTGGCGTGAAGTAGTTTCATAATCAATTTGCAACTGTAGGGATTGACGTCTGCATTGCAACAATTTACAAGTATCGAATTCTTCCTCTACTTAATACCGGAAATTGTCAACTGAAAAGCTTCAAATTGACAATAGAGCATGATGATATTCATTCCTATGGTAGTAATTGATAATAATTCAAATTGCTTGTAAACTTTTGAAAGATTGAAGATTGAACGAAATCAGCCAACTACAAAGCTTTCTATGAAAGATACGATACAGTATTGGCCATAGTGTTATTTGAATATCTTAACTAATGATGAACGCTGATGGCATGCTATACAATCTACTATCCGCCATACCTGCAGCGACTTCATTGATTTTTGAACGACAGGCCTTGTGCAATCTACGTATTAATCTTTTGGTCATTAGTACAGTACTACAATAAATTTCCTTGCACAGTACTGTAGTATTATAAATACCATCGACCAAATCAGAACGATTTTCAATCGACTTTTCAACTGCACGAATTTTATAACAAGTCCTTATGACCAGTATATGTAGTACCTACTTAATGATTTTCTTAATCAGGTACAGATCACTTGAAGATGAATAGTATGAAAAGATATATTTTAGTTTAACTAAGGAGAATAATCACTACTATACTACCAAAGTCAAAGCTAACACATCTTTTCCAACATAATTTTCAATTGATTTGCCATTCCCAATCTAATTTTGAAAATAGCGTAGCAAAATAGAAAAATGCGCATATGCTGACTTCTACGGGTATAAATTTAAACATGATTGAAATGCTTCCAATCATAGCCAGTACGCTCTGGAATACCAGCTACACTTAGCTACCAGGGTCAAAATTGAGAGTCACTCTATTTACACCCTTCGTAATCCTAACCCTAACATGTCTTAATTCCGAAGCCCAATAGCCAGATTAAGTGAAAGTTAGGATGTTACCAGCTGAAAGAGATAGAAAATGAGTGAAGATGGTACACAGAAATTGTTACATAATCGAATCTAGACGATGAATTACTCATACATATCCCGAACATAAACACTTAGAATACAGTGTCTGCACAATCAAATAACCTCCAAAATAAAAAATTGGCTTTAAAAATGTTACGATCGCTAGAATATGAATATATCCAACGGTTAGCTATGACAGAAGTGACAGGGTCAATTTATGGAAGAAAAAGGAAATCCTTCGCTGGTATGTTGTATTATGTCTTCTATATAGAGCAATTTCACCTAGAAAATATTGTACGTACGCAATAATAGCCACTTAAAATGGGAATACACACCTTATATCCGCATATGTTTTGTATAACAACATTCTCCTTTGAATTATACTAACTTTCAACACTGACTTACTGAATTCATACCTTATGCAATACATCATATACGTGATGCAAGCACGTTTCCTAGAGCGGTAATATATTACTGTAGCTATAAAATTCCGCGATCCTTGGATGCGCATAATTCTACATGATAGTGCTCATTCCACAAAATCACAACAATAAGTAGCAATGTTGACTGTACTCTAAAACAGGCATATACAAGTACAGTTCGCAATCTATTGTCTAGGTCCTATCGTAGAATACGAGTACTATAGAACATTATTTGCTAAGTATATGATTATAAATAACTGCAGTCGAGAATCTTTTAAACCCCTTTGTTACCACTAAAGCCACACATATAACATAAGCTAGCATTGTAACCATAGTAACGGATTCGCTATATTGCTGAGAATACATCGTCTATTTTGGGGGAATTAGACTAGTACTATTGGTTATGCTGGTGTGATGGTGATACTTACACTAGTGAAATACATGCATACCACGCGTAGAGTATTCTACTAACATTATCAGAGGATGTAGAATAGTTTTATGAAAGTGCTTACCGTATATTGCAGCTGCTTCAAGTAGACGATCTATGGGTTTGGATGATTAATAACTGCAGCCAAGGTACAAGCGCACGGTGCCAGATGTGAACTCAACAGGAACAAGTGAAAGAGGATATAAAATTCAAAGCCTTTATTGCTCCTTAAGATAAATCAATTCCTTTTTGTCCGTCTTAATGACTTTTAAAAAATGATGACGATTAACTTACTATTGACAGCATACAAAATTCAAGTGTAGTCAATAAATGCTTTGAAAGTTATCATCTTTCTTCCTTTATTACTGGACGTCATAGCCAATTAGGATCCTTATAGGATGTAGATTTGTACATGAGAGTCAAATTTTGTCTTTACAATCATTATCAAGTCTATGTACCACTAACCGAATATATCGCAACAACGTGTATCCTCGATTAATCAGTTTAGATTAATACTCGTTTTGTACTGAAAGCATACATTAACTCCATCCTATACGGGCTCTCAACATCAAGCAATCGCGTAAATTTACATATATACCAGTTCTAACATGTCTCGATTGAATATTATAAGCCGCGAGTCCAACACAAGTCCAACATCCGTAAGTTTTCCATATTATATTTTATAATAGTATTGTTAATTACAGCTAATATCCAATTAAAAATGTCATAACATGATAATCTCGGCTTTTAAGTACCTCATTTGTTTTGTTAAGAATATGCGGTAGGCGACCATCCATATTCAATAGTAGGATAATTAAAGACTATTTTAGTAAAATCATCCATCATCTATCATAAAGAAACGACAAAGTTAATCTGATATCGTCATTACATAGTATTATCTAAATTATTTATATTAGGGAAATGTCTTCAATGGAAATCATGTTTTACCACGTCCATCGACAAGAAGTGCTTGTTCTATTCCAATGCTGACTCGAAGATCTGATCAGGACGATAGTTTGTCGCCGTCAATAAGGGCTTCACCGGTAGGCTAAGTTAATTTTTTATCAATTCTCTTTCAATATTATTCTCTCTTGATTTGCTGTTAAGGACATTTTTTATTTATTTGTTTAATCTTAACTGGGTCATTTTATTACGATTTTGCGGTAATAAAAGCATTAAAATTCTTACTTCAATTAATTGTAAGGACCTTGATTGCTGCGTAACACTCCATAATTATTCACAATATTAAATAATTAGATAAAATATTTTAATGCAATTACGTAAAAGAAGATTAATTCATGCTATTAAAATTTTTAAAATAACAGCGTTCTGCAGATGCAGACCATGGATATCGACGAAACTATAGCAGCAATAGTGCACCATCTTACACAGTTAAACAGGTCAGTGATTTTCTTTAAACTTAAAACTTGAAACTGAACAGGATCGTTCAATTTATATTGTAAATTTTAATAAAGTGCGCTGAATCATGATAAAGAGCCATTAATTGATTACCTCACTTTCCTTACTTTACCTGCATAATCATAAATGCGTAATTGAGACTGAGGTAAATCAGTTAACATAGGACTTGCTCACTTTCACAGAATAGTAATAACTTAACTATTGATAACCTTACTGTAGTCACTTTTGAAGCTTCGATAATAATGGAAGTAAAAATTATTAAAAATAACAGCTTTGAGCTTCAACTCAAGTTGAGCTTAAAGGAAAACTCTAGTTTATTATAACTTTTTATCGAAACCTTAAAAAAAATTACAAAAGGGCGGAACTACTGCCTTAATCAACTAAACCATCAAAAAAAATGAGATTGCTAGGGATTTTAGGAATACTTTAATCTTTACCTTCTTATTTCACTAACTTGAACTACTCAACTACTGAACTAAACCCATCTTTTCTACGCTCCGTAGAGCAGTTGGTGGTATTAGACTATCAATTTATCATTTTAAATTATTCTAAATCAAAACTAGCAGTTAATCACTTATGAAAAGATAAATCCTACCCTAGATTCACGAAATTACTCAATTAATTATTAATCATGTTTAGCTGTAAATTATATCTTTGTTTGGTGTACAAAGCAAAACTTTAAAAATTCACTAAGATAGGCTAACAATCTTCAGTTAGATCTCAGAGCAAAATATTTATGTTGACACTTTATTCGACGAAAAAGTAATATAACTTCTACTGTACGCATTTGATAATCAAAATCAGCTATTAGTTTTATCATAATTGAAGAATAAATGTAATACTAACTAGACATATTACTTAAATCACAATCTTACATTGTATAAGATTTAACAAAATTAACCCTACCGGATAAAATAGTCAAGTTCACAACATCCCATGGTGCTAAGTAGAATTTACCGTAATCGAACCTAAATAGTTATTTCTAAAGCTAGGGTACATAATACAATACAAAAATTGAAAGAAAATTAAAAAAATTGCAAAAATACGCTCAAATTATTTATCACCAATGTGCTTTATAAAATCTAACCGTAATTCAGAGATAAGTTTTTAACAAAATGCAATTACGAAACTAGAATCATTTATACAACCAAGCTCTGCTATATTAGAATACCCATACATTAAATTTTTAAAGTGTATCTGTAATTTACAAAATACAGTACAACAAGAAAGAAGTGCTTATATAATCAATGCAATATAGTAATCTAATTGAAAATATGTTGCATCAAATCAGTTATTTAAGAGTACGCTAAGCGCTGCAATTTGACGATATCATTATATTTGACAAATTCGAAGTATTCATGCAAGCGGAGCCAGCCTAGATTGTTTCAAGTCGTAAAAATATATAAATGATTGACATTTAAGAGCGACGTTCGAAATATTTATGTTAATAAACTATATTAGATTACATTTAAACGTAATTTTAGATAAGTAGCTATTAACATAGGCCAGGCTAGTCTGAGAATTATCAAATCGCAGAAGTAGATAATATCCAATTTGCCTACAAAATACCATTAACATTTTCGAAATATCTTTACTAGATGAATTATCTTAGAACACATCCAAAGACAAGATCCGCAGATCCTCGAGTAATTACTGATATTCCTAATTTAACAAGGTACGATATCATATTATGTTCGATGAGTTAATCTATATACAGTTAGATGAAAAGTAATAAATTAAAATATTTACCTACTGCGAATTATTATACGATATCGAACGATAATCAAAGAGACGTAAGTATTTTAAATATTCTGAATATACTGTTTGAAATCTGTGTAGAAAATACAACAAATCACTCTACGATTCATTGTCGCCACAAGAATTCTTCAAAAAACGAATGCAAACAATTAGTCGCGCTAACGTGTCAAGTAGGATGGAAATTATTTACGGCAGAAGCGATGAAGACATCGAAATCAATAGATTGACCAATATTAAAGCTAACAAAATTTTACAGGTGACATAATATGAGTTAATAGCTTAAATTTTAAGGTAGTAGGGCAGTTATCATACAGTAACCACAAATTGAAACCAAAAAATTAAATTAAATCGCACTTTGTTGACGATTTACGGATACATATGAATGTTGCATTCAAATTTTTTTGGATATCAAATTATTTATTCTAATAGTGATCGAGATTCTATTTATACAGCATTATTGACAGCTACTTTGCTGCTTTAACGGGTTACCATATTAAATTTCATTTGCTTTAATTCATGTAGAGAAAGAATATTCCTTAATGTATTGATCTGTTTTGCCTATAAATGATCACTTATACCATGAGTAGATACTAATCCATTGCAACTACATACATCGTAACTAATTTTATGTTTACTCCATCGCAGACTTATAATACCGATAATACTACTAGCAAATATATTTTTCAAAAGAAAATTAAACCGCGTGGTTATCGAAGAGAAAACTTCGGAACGTTACCCATTCCGAGTAATGTCCCTCTTGATTCTTCAAGAATGCTCGTAATTAGGTAAGTTTTGATGGCTATATTGATTACTTCTATATTTTCTTGCACACTTTTTTCATCTACCTTGAAATAAGTCAGCATGCATATTTAATGAACGGATAGAATAATGGTTTTTAAATCGGCTTCTACTATATAAGCAGCTTAATTACATCTATATGACATCTAAGTTGAAGGATCTATACCATTCTTATATTACTGAATTTGTAGGCCTGCAAATGTATCTCCAAGATGCAGCAATGAAGATAAGAAACTACCGAGGTAAATATCTACCAGACCATAAAAATTTCATACTGTACGATATAAAATCGTATTAAAAAAATAGATTGAAATATAAGCTACTGTTCATCAAACTACCATCAATATAAATACACTCAAGACTATAAATAAATCGATCGCAAATGCTATATCATAGTTCTTTATAAAGACATATTGCGAGACTTATATTTGCATGGATTAAATTTATGGTATACCGTTTACTTTACATTTTTAATAATTACTCCTTCCTCCATTAGATTAAAGCAAAAAATGTCAGAAATTCGAAAAGGATGGGTAGAAGAGAAGGTCTCTTTAAGTCCAAAATCGAAAGACCAGGCCCATCTTCATCAACCAGGAAATGCCAACAGCTCTAATCATATCACCAATCATAATGAACCTAAAAAAGTAACATTCTCTCTAGAAGATCAGAAATCAACTGCTACAGATAAGGATACACTAGATCATGATGATGAAAGTAAAGATCAAACTGAGGGTTGGACACAAAATTCAGTTGAATTTAATGTTATCATCAGTCCACGCCATAGCCAAAGCTCTGTTAAGGCTGAAGATTTACCCAATCTATCAAGCCCGATGGAAACCAATGAACTTGCCATGTCTCAATCCGATAGCAATCATAATTTTGATAATAATCATAATTTAACCAGTAATCAGGAACTAGAGAAATGTGACGATGATGATCGTCATATTGTGCAAGAAGAAAACAAAACTTTCAACGAACCAGAATCTAGAATGAAAGATCAAGATAATTCAAATCAAGACATGCAAAATAGCGATATATTAGCGCAAGACATAAGAGCTGACAATAATTGCGTGGATATTTCCGATCATAAAGATGATCATCAATCACATCGTTTGATGCTAGATGAAACTGAGGAATTACCAATGGATACAATTCAAAGCTCGCAGCAAGTTGTTATTGAAGTTTCCAATCAATTAGTAACAAACGAAGAAGATGCAGAACAAGATTAGAACAAGAGTATTGGGAATGTTAAGCCAAATTAAAAGCTAAACCAGGAAATTAATACTTTTTTAAACTAATTATTAGAATAAGATTTGATGATATTGAGATAAATAGATCGATATTCAGAGTATTATTTTTGAAACCCTTTTCATTCAATTAAATTGCAGAACAAAATGTTACTATGGAACGGATACAGTTATTACTTTATATAATAGTGTTTTCAATAGTCGACCTCTTTACGAGCAGTTCCTGAATCTTCTGTAATCAATTTCAGCTCCAATCACTAGATAAAGCAGGGATACAATGTCTGGATGATGATTTAATTCAAAATTTTAAGATTCTAAAGGACCTAACTGCCAATTTCTAAATTGGTGCAGATTCTTTCACTAAGCTGTACACAGTTATTACAACTGACGAGGAGGTGCAGAAGATTTTTTTTAACTATTTTTTAAAAATTGACGCATCGCAATAGACTGTTACTGTACCTGTTTCGAAATACTTTCGTGTGTGTCATGTTAAATATTTTTCTTATATTTGAAATAACGTTAGCTCTATTACTTATCTAAATATAGTATATAAATTTTAAACCTTTTCCTAGATTTTACATATTGTGTCTAATATTTTTATTTCAACTATTTCAAGTTTCAATTATTATTTTCTACGGATAAGATAATTAATTCCTATCGGATCTTTCAATTTTTCGATTTAACTTAAAGCCTAGATTTTTACCGTATTTTGTCAATTTAATTAATATCGCTTGGCGTTATTAACCTTTTATTGTAAATTTTATTTGACCCCATTCTGCGAGATATTTCTACTTCATTTTAGATTAAAGATAGCCTTTCAACTGCATTTGGCCAATATCATGTATATTTACTATCTGATTTACAAGTCAATTTAGAAGACGGTTTGCCATCACATGATGAATACTCAATGGCAGTTAGAGATTTTATGGAATGATGCAATATGTAACAGCACTGTAGCAAATACCAGCGCAAGTTAACCGTTCGAAATGAACAGATCCGATTTCTGATCACAATGATCGCCTACTCTCGAAAACAATGTGCCACAATATATGAAGCTCTAGCTTGGAAATAGTAAAGAGAAAAATGATTTCTAAAAGCAGTAAATACCGATGGATATTATGGTACAAAAGTAGTGAAATTACAAAATTTTCTATGACAACAACTACCAAGGCAATATTGACATTAAGATATACAGAAATCAATCCAGGTTGATATTCTGATATAACAAACTATATTAATATGTGTATTCTCGCTTTCATACGCCAAGCATGGGAGTAGGAATACCATATCCTACCAGGGAACGAGCAACTAATGATGTCAAACTATACGAACATTGCATTTTACTGTAGCATAAATTAGTAATTTCGATACAAAATAAGAGTTCAATTTCAATGCTGACCTCGGGGTGCTATAAAAAATATTACCATGAATAGAACGAATCAAGATCTAATGATGATAATTATCCATTGAACTATAACTTAATCAAAGCATGAAACCATTCTTGGAATTCTAGTATTTAAGCAACATTACAGAACTGTTTATTACTGATTCATACAATAAAATTTCTATCTCTGCAACAGTAATCATAATGGCTTGCTGCTAATTTTTTTTATTGGCTACTTATCCGATATTTCATTTGTAACTCATTGGCTGCAATTTGGTAAATTAGTTCATAATACTACTTTGAAGAAATTCAATACTATATAATTCTTGAAATATTTTTCGCAATAATGTAATGTAAATTAGCGAGGTATGACATTTGAACACGCTCTTTAAATAAGGTGATCACATTTCTATCATATTGAGAGATAGGACAGGAGAGTAATTCGACATTTATATACTTTGATTATTTTAAAAAAGTATTCTCTCTTATAGACAAATACTTTGATGTTATGCTCTATTAGTAATATCAACTAATTAATCTGTAAGCGCGAAAAATGTCTATTGAATACTATGCACTTTTAAACACTACAACTTGCGGTAACTTGTATTCAGATTTCTGGCATAAAGCTCTATCAAGTATTTTCCATGTATTAGTCTTTATAGGTGAGCATTATAGTAAATTGATGGAAATACGATTTTTATAATTTATATGCCTAAAATGATATCTTCTATAAATTATTTGCACAAAATGACTAGGATAAACCTACCCAAAAGGTTGTTGATCAATTACAGATTGCTTCGTAATAATGTACTTTCACTTCATTAGAACGAGGTCTACAAAAGTGACCTATATTCATCCGAAATTCTCAATTTCTTCCTTTATGCATTAGATTACGAGTCCTTACTTATAACTTTGGAATTGTATAGCTTAAAATCTTATAAGTGAATTTCCACAGCAGTCCTTTACTCGGAAACCGATAAGGTAAAGATCCCTGTCTCAAGTAATATCGATATAAGAGCAATTACTAATTTTGATTGATCTTCGCATAGTAGTTTTCTAGTGCCTGTATAATATACGCAGATGGCTACTCTTTATGACTATGAAATTAGAAATCAAGGCGGATTCGTTGCTACTAGTTCATCAATCAGTTAAAATGTAACAATAATCAAGTTTTATCCTTTCATTAAAAAGATTATCAGTTATCGAAATTGGTGTTTCAGTAAAAGGCCGCAGTGAATGGTAGCGCTAGAGAATGACTTGAAAATTTCGATACAATCAATTAATGATCGCTATCGATAACGGCATATATTAAATGTAACAAGAAAGAAGATTTATATCATTAATACTTTATAACCTGAGATCGATTTCCTATCATTTAAAATCGAGAAAATTGACTAATACATTAACTCAGTTTGATTGTTGCGTAAGGAAATGGAGAATGTAATATAATATGCTAAGAGACAAAATAATTCCCTAATTCGCATTGCGGCTAAATACCTTTTCAACTAGTAAACACGAATGCATCTACACGTGTTCTAGTCAAAATATTAACTTTAAACAGCTAAAGGAACAGCATGAAATCGTTGTCAATTTAAGCGTAGAACGAGAACTTTTAATGTAGTACCGTACTCGCATATAGCATACAAAACTCAGATCATAGATAGTATTCAATATCTTGTTATATCGTATAAGGTGGAAATTCTCAGAGTGTAGCTATTTATCTGGTCTAATGTACGATAATTTGGTAAAAAATTAATTCATTCGAAGCCAATCTATCCTAAACCGTAGCTACACATACTTTCATTCCTGACATATACTTAAGTGATGACCATAGGTGCAATAAATTATAAGATATTCATGCATTCTTGAAGATGAACGATAGTGACTGGACGGTAATTAAATATAAAGACGGCGATACCACTTTAAAGCTATTACGGACAGTCTATTTCAGATCGAAAAGTGTAAAATACCTCAGTACCATGCTAACGGATTAATGGTTAAGTAATGTTCATGTCATACACATAAATACTAGATGATGTCGTATTTCATATTTATTATTTCATAGATATAAGCTGATACAAGCATATGAAACGGAATAAAAAATAGAAATAGTTGAAAACAGTGTTCCGGATCGAGTCCTAATTCATTTAGTAACGTGTGATATTTTGCCAATTTAAGTGCATTGGTTTAAATATATATTTCTATTGATTGCAACTACGGCTCTTAAATGGCAATGATTTTTGCTAGAAGAGGTATATGAAAAATTCATAAGTACCACTTCGTTATTTCATAGTACAGTAGCATATATCCTATTTCACGTTTTATTCTTATATACTGTAGAAATAAGCTGATGCAGGCTTAGGAGGTAGAATAATATATAAAAATAGTTAAAAATGTTTATTTCTACTGATTGCTACTTCAGCTCTTAATCGGCAATGATCTTTCTTAGAAGCGATATACTGTATGAAAAATAAAAAGTATCGCTAAGTAAGTATAAGTATAATTATAAGTATAACTATAAGCATGATAAGTATCACTCTTTCAGTACCGTGCGATATTTCGTCAATTTGAGTGCACTAGTTTAAAATGTTTATTTTCTACTGATTGCTGCTACGGCTCTTAACTGACAATGATCTTTGTTAGAAGAGGAATATGAAAAATTTATAAGTACCGTATCACTTAGTTATTTTATAGTACAGTGACATATGTCCTATTTCATGTTATACTATTTTAAAGATATAAGCTGATGCAGGCTTAGGAGATGGAATAATAAATAAAAAGAATCTAAAATATTTATTTCTACTGATTGCTGCTACGGCTCTTAATCGGCAATGATCTTTCTTAGAAGCAATATACTGTATGAAAAATGTATAGGTATCGCTTCTTTATTGCATATTACCATGATAAAGGTCCTATTTCAGGCTTTATTCTTTCATAGATTACAGGTTTAGGAGTTGGAATAAAAAATGAAAATAGTTGATAATATTTATTTCTACGGATTGCTACTACGACTCGTAACCGACAATGATCTTCGTTAGAAGAGATATATAAAACATTATTCCTAAGTATCACTTCTTTATTTTATATTACTAGGAAATGCACGTATATGTTTGAAGAACGGGAAGCTATCGATGACATATCACATTTAACATTATCATCGTAGAGGTAAAAGAAAAAAGTTTGTGGCTATCACATCCTGAATAAGTTACCATATTAAATACATCATCGTAGAATATATCTATGGATAATCATAATCTCCTAATAAGTATTTCAATAATATAATCTGTTGCCATGACTTCAGTAAAACGTATGTCAGTATGTCCAACTATAATTAGCTATCATCAGTGTAATAGTAGCGCCACTAGTATATGATTCAAGTTATTTTTAACGTAGTAAACAACTGATGACAGTATTACCAAATTCGGCAACAAGCGTATATTGCGATATTATATACTGTAAATGGGAATTCTTGAACTAAAACTACAGTAATTTCCTAAATACTTCAGTGACTGATATTACTTTTCAAGTACCCCGGAACAAAATCATATCCGGAATCGAGAACATATCGAAGGAAGTTCAATTATAATTATCAGAATTC